TGTTCACAAGAGCACTGTGTAGAATTAGCACCAGATGCCATCGCGTAACGCAGTTCCCGGGAAGAGTCAACAGATGTCTGGTACGCTATGAAAAATCCTAGCATCAGGAGAGCGGTGATGGCCGCCATTGCGGCCTCTGATCTTCCTAATAAAGTTGGGGCCATTGTCGAAACAGAAGGATTAAAAAATGTAGAAATGAAGCGTCTCTCAGCTATACGTCTACCTATACTCTGTTTATTCTGATAGACTGGGCTGCAGATAGAAGAAATAAGATATTAAAGGAGAGTGAGAGGAGAGTGAGAGGAGACACAAAGACGGACATATAGACAAAGTGAAAATACATTTAACAACTAAATTATTCATACCCCTTTTAAATTTGATTATTTTGTGTTTTTCGTGACTCAAGAATGAAAGGTAGACTGGTTGAATTAGGGTTTTCCTGAATGAATACTTTGAGAGGTAAGCTTTAATATGTGGCACTCTAAAGAAACATACATCAGTACAAACTAATTTTCACATAGATAAAAAAAAATTACACAACTTGGAAAGAGTATGAATAATTTAGTTTTTAACTGTAGGTATCTGAGACAGAAATTGCAATTCGATAGGTTAGGACGAGGGGCGGAAAGACGGATTCATAGAAATATGGGAGAAATAGAGAGGGGATGTGGTTATCAAAAGAGAGAGGGAGGGAGGACAGAATGAAAAAATGCATATACACAAAAAGAATGGATAGCTAGTACAGGATACGACGAAGAGAAAAGGGGATAAGATACGCGAGGAAAAAGGGTGCACATAATGACCTTTACATTCGATATGAATATACACGTGCGTGTGGGTCCGTGTGTGTGTGGGTTATCTGAAGAAGACAAAATGAAAAGCAAAGTCGTACTATCTAAATTCCTTCATAGTCGTTCTTGGTTTTTTTCTTCTTCTTTTGTGTATTTAGTCGGGGCAAACTGAGAGATTGTTATAGCGCAGTAGGCATCTCCAAACCGATTCCCAAACCGATCGTACGATGTATTATACAATGCGTCCCAGAAAAAACGAAACCGAGAAATTATTATCGATGTTTTATCAGAACTTAATCAGAATTATAATTAATAAATGACACATATTTATAAAGCTTTGATCCTCCTCTTTCATTTGATGCAACTCATATGATGCACATTCACGCATGAGTAATTAAAAACAATTTGAAGAGAGGAAACTAAAAAGTCATTTTTAGGGCGGTTTCTGAATTTCAAAGAGAAAACCACATTTCTAGAAAGTTCATTTTTTGCCCTTCCATATGACACTTCAATCACGAAAAATGAGCCGAGAATAACAAAGTTCTGTTTGTTCAAAGTGATGCTTGCATTTCTTTAATTTGATTAAACGAATTCGTTTTCACTTGCTGCCTGCCGTAGCAACAAACAGAGTTGACAAAAGGCTTCATCTTTCTTCTTCTTTGTGCATGGCTGATCGTGAACGAAACGGAGTTAAGCCTTTTGTCAACTCCGTTTTGCCTGGATTACATTTGCCCCGGGCGCCGTACGATAAATTAGTCTACGATTTGTGTTTACATTATCAACGAGCATCGTGCCATTTATTGTATAGGCCCTAGGGGGCAGGCCGGGGCAAATGCGTACAGAGGCTGCTCGGAGATTGTACGGAAATCGTGCAATTTGAATGCAGTAGCCGTGCAGTCTCCGCAGCCTCCGCACGGAAATCGTACGGAGCCCGTGCAGCTTCCGTGCAAAGGTTGCGCGGAGATGACTGCTCAATATCACGGATACTGCACGGGCAGCGAGCAGCAACCTTGCGAATTGCGATAGCTGTGCAATGGCCGTGCGAATGCCCCACGAGTCTACAATCTCTGTAAGATTTTTTTTTTTGCCCCCATGTTCACCGAAAAATCGTACGTTTGCTGCACAATCAGTGCGAGGCCTCCGGGCGATGCCCGTGCGGGGATTGTGCAATGCCACCTACGACATGTATACGGGCTACGGGCTTACGATATTTTCAAATTTGTTTAACTTCTCGCGAAACAAAATCGTAAAGGCTGCGGAGCCCGTGAATCCGTACGAAAATCTCACGGCCGCCTCCTGCCTCCGCACAGAGGCCGCACGGAAAAGGGGATACGGGCAGGATACGGGCTCCGTAGACTAATCGCAGGCCAAATGTAATCCAGGCATAAGTTGCTTCGGCAGGCAGCCAGTGAAATCGAATTCGTTTAATCAAATTATGGAAATGCAAGCATTACTTTAAACAGACAGAACTTTGTTATTCCTGGCTCATTTTGCCTTATTGCGGTGTCGAATGAAAGTGCAGAAAATGAACTTTCTAGAAATGTGATTTTCTCTTTGAAATTCAGATACTGACCTGAAAATGACTTTTTGGTACCCTCTCTTCAAATAGTTTTTAATTACTCATGCGTGAAATATGGATCATATGAGTTCCATCAACTGAAAGAGGAGGATCTAAGATTTACAAAAAAAAAAAAAAATTGTGATTAAGTTATGATAAAACATCGATAATTCTAGGTTTCGAATTTTCTGGGACTCACTGTACAGGGCAATCTAACCCTTGAAATAAGTTGATTTGTATGAAAGCAGAAAAATAACAGGAACAGAATGGCAAAAGTTAGAAATGAATCGGACCAAAATTAAGGAAGTTATGAATGTTTGAAAAATGAGATCAATAATTCGGTCAGTGGATTGTGACGTAGGACTTGGATAACTCTCCCATTTGCCGTGTACAAAAATATCATTAATTTCTGGTTTCTCGTAAGTTCCTTCTCCCTTTGGGCACTACTTAAAATATATTGTAAATAGCATATTATTACAGGTCTTCTAAAAAGGAATAGACCATTCTGAGCAATACATTTTTGAAAAATTTAAGACCAGTTCGTAGATACAATCTGAGCATGAGCCGATAAAGTTGTAAACCCCACCAATATGAATACGTGCTCATGTTATGTAATCATTAGGGACTTTTAGATTTGCGTGGACTGAAACGTGTGACGTCCATTCAAGGCAGTGCATTAAATGGACGTCGATCATAGCAATCCCCATTGTCTTCGTGCGAATCTAAAAGTCCCTAATAGGGACTTTTAGATTGAGTGGACGAGAACACGACGAACGCCGACTGATCATGCGTGTCAACGTACTTAACTGCCAATGGTGACTACAATTAGAAATCTTTTAGATTGCACTTGACGATATACATGCATGCAGGAAGTAACACTATGAACATCACGGACAAAGAAAGAGGACAAAATATACAGTTCCTCATTCTACGCTCAACAAAAGAACATCCCTTAATTCACTGCTATTATGTAGAACAGGTGAATATGCATGTGACACCCGTTCTACACATTTTTACATAATAGCAGGGAAGGGATGTTCCTTTGTCTACCTTAGGAACTGTATATTTTATGCGCACGCGGCATACTAATACCTTGAGCATGTAAAGGCGCTATATACATACCAATATGTATGTATGTACTAGATTTAGGAAAAATCAAGGTTGACGCATTCTCGATCGCCGAATGAGATGACGTAACGCATGCGCAGTACCTTAAAATGACGTCACACGTTGCAGTCAAAGCTGTCGACGTGCTAATCTAAAGTCCCTGTTATTCATGTGTGCACCTACGGTACATTCTATGATACAAGAGGGCAAACAAAAGCTATTCATGAAGCACATACATGACTTTGGCATTGATTTTTCTAAAATACACTAAGTGGGACTTCTCCATGATCTGTGGATATTTGGGGTCATTTGACCCATGTGCTAACTACGAAATGGTGTGAAAGTAGACCGGCACTACATCACATTCACATTACCGTTTCAGCCAATTCGAAGTTCCCATACGTATAGTGATTACAACTCCCAAAACTTTGTTATATTTAGTCAGATTTGATTAAAACTTTCACCAGTTTAATTCCTCTGATTTTTCTGCTTTCTTTTATAAGTAGTGTTGTCTATTTGGGTTGGATTTCCCTTTAGCCTCACTGCTAAACCGACTGATGTTTTGGCCATTTAGTTGTAAATGTGAGGATGTCTTGTATATCTATGTCTTTGGTGTCACCAGGGTGACGAGATTATGTGACAAGAGCCTTTCTTCTTTACGAATCCTTACAGCGCATTGTGTTACGTAATACAATATAAAAGCAATCACTGCCTGTGTCAAAGCAGTCCAAAAAAAGACCCCCCCCCCCAAAAAAAAAAAAAAAAAAAAAAAACCCATTCACTTTCAATATAAAGATCCCATGCACACTCCAGTGCACAATGATTTGCACACATAATAGGGACTTTAAGATTCGCACGAAGACAATGGGGATTACTACGGTTGACGTCCTTTTAATGCACTGCCCTGAATGGACGTCACACGTATCAGTCCACGCAAATCTAAAAGTCCCTAGTGTGAATACATTTGCTACTTGTACAGGTTACTCAATGCAATGTAGATTTATATCATGGACATGGGAATTGGAGAGGGATATCTAGTAATCAATACATGTTTGGTTTGGAATAGATCACGAATATGCACTCCTGTAAAGAATATGAACTTAGATATCAAAATGAAATATCAATGGTGTCGAAATGTTGTTCTTGCCACAGTGGGGGGAAGAGTTCCATATGTATCCCCGGTAAGATTGATCTATATTGATCTAACCCTAACCCTAATCCTAACCTAGCATACCCATATATTTGTTCTTTATTTTAGTGGGTGTACATATATGGAACTCTTGCCTAAAGTGGTCTACTCTATACAAATACGATAACCCTTTATTGAGAAGAAATTTAAATATTGTGAGGGAATTTGTCCATAACTCAGGTACAATACTGTGCCGGCATGAGCTTTCTAGAAATGTAAGGAATACATACTTTTAAAATGTTAGAAACACATACGCAAATTTTCCAATGAGGCATATCGATGTACGTTGCATGCTTATACATTCATATTAGTCATTAAGAATTGATGCTTCTAAGTATATCTTCAATTCCCTTACCTGTTGCAATTGCGTAGCTGCTCTCAATGTAGGATTATCTTCTTTGACGAAACGCGTCGAATGAATATTCTGTACAGACTGGATGTTGCATGTGGGTAAGAAATTGAAAACAAACTCTTGTGAATTGGCGTCGCTTGTTCGATTATCTGGGCACCAGCTCCAGTTGTCACTATTGTTGCTCGAATTGTTGGTGGCGCTCTTCTCTGCTTATTAGGGTGACGTCTGAATTTCTCAAATATCAAATTTGAAGGTTTGTTAAAGGCACAGAGCTCAATAGGGTTACGCGTTAGAGCGTGGTTCGAATTAGTGTTAATTTACCTCTCACATTTTTATCTCTAACATTTTCACCTCCGACATTTTTTTACCTCTGCCTGGCATCTTTACTCCTGAAATGTCTTGCTTTGGTATCTTTACAGCTGACATTTTAAATCCGAACTAACAATTTTGACGCGAATAATAAAAAAAGGTTTGTTTGTAAATTAACCTCTGATATTTTTACCTGTAATGTTGACCTCTGGCCAGGGGCGTACGCAGGATTTTTTCAAGGGGGGGGGGGGGGGGGGGGGGGGGGGGGCGGGGGGGGGGGGGGGGTGGGGGGGGGGTGGGGGGGGGGGGGGGGGGGGGGGGGTTTAAAATCGGGCCCAAAATATTTTGCTCCCGAAAAATTTAAAATCGCGCCGGCCGAAAAGTCAGTGTGGGGGGGGGGAGGGGGGGGGGGGGTGGGGGGGGGGGGGGGGGGGGGGGGGGGGGGGGGGGGGGGGGGGGGGGGGAGGGGGGGGGGGGGGGGGGGGGGGGTGGGGGGGGGGGTGGGGGGGGGAAGCAGGCACTTTTTTTTTTTTTTTTGTCTCGAATTTGAAAATTTGACATTTTCTTCGTTGGGGGGGGGGGGTAAGGTCACCTTTTTTAGGTTAGCCGTGGGCATATATATATATATATATTTTTTTTTTCTTTTTTTTTTTTAAATTAAAAAAAAAAAAAAAATCCAAAGGGGGGGGGGGGTTTAGGTTTTTTTAGGGGGGTTTACACACATAAAAATACCAAAGGGGGGGGTTTGAATCCCCAACCCCCCCCCCCTGCGTACGCCCCTGCCTCTGGCATTCTTACATCCAACATGTTTTGCTCTGGCATCTTTACAGCTGACATTTAAACTTTGAACTAACAAACTTGACGCTGCGCAGCGCCATGTTGTAAGCGAATATTAAAGAAAGAAAGTTTGTATTTATATTTTATTTTTCGGGTAAGACCGATGCCCCCCCCCCCCAACCCTTCCAACGTTCCAGCCCCTTCCACTTCCCTCATAATCACGCTGCGACAGTGCCTGCCAACGCCACTAACCTTTAGTAGTAAGTGTACTACATAATATGTAAAATCTCTCTCTCTCCCCCTATCACGCCCTTTCTATCTCCGTCTCTCTCTCTCTCTCTCTCTCTCTCTCTCTCACACACACACACACCCCCTCTCCCTCTTTCTCTCTATCTATATCTCTCCCATATCAACCTTTCCCCATTCTCTCTCTCTCTCGCTCTCTTTCTCTCTCCTCTTTGTTTCTCCCACTCACACCCTTTCTCTTTCCTTCTCTCTATCTAGTGCTCTCTCCCTCTCTCTTTCTTCCCTGTCACCCTCTTCCTATTCTCTCTCAATCTCTTTTCCTCAACTTATCTCTCCTTTTTCTCTTTTTACCAGCCCCCCCCCCCCATTTGTCTTTATATATGTATTTCTTACTTTTTTTTTTTGTAGGCCTAATCAGATATGGTAAGCTGAATGCGAGTCAAAGAACAAAGACACTTCCTATAAAGACATACTTTGCTTATGAAATCTTACAACATTAAACACAGATAACACCCCCGAAAACAAGATTTCTCAAACTTTTTCGTTGATGGTCCAGATATGATTTCTTTGAAAGCTGTAAGATCAGAAATATAGGATGCCATCACCAGAAGATTCTTATGATCGATCCTATACCTCAACTTAAGTAAAACAATGTACAATATGATTACTGGAAAGCCGGGCACGACTCAAACATTGCTCAATTTTGCATAATATTTTATATACAAATCATCATTTACATAGATTCCGGTTCCATGAAAATGAGTTGTGCTCATTTTGCAAAAAATTTGAAGAAACTTATTAACATGTATTCTTTGAATGTAATACAATAAAGGAAGTCTGGGGAAATGTGCAGATAGACTTAATTTACCAATTCTGAAGAAATCATCCTTGAAAGAAATTCATATAGGAATAGGGCTCAAATTAATTTTTTGTCCACGGGGGCTCTTCCCCCCCCCCAAAAAAAAGAGCCCCCGTGAGCCTTCTCACGGGGGCTCTTTAGTACTGACGGGGGCTCTTTTTTATACAAATATCCATTGAATTGGTACCTATGATACTCCTCAATTACATTTACTTAGCTGTTACTGACTTTCATCCCCTGATGACATTCTCTCGATTTTTTCCCGTTCTGCACATTATTTCCTCCTCATTATTCGGAGCAACCTTTACATTCTTCCTTTACTGAGCCGCGTAGCGGCGAGGCGATTTTGTGTGTGTGCTATTTTGGACAGGCGCGGATCCACGGGCCGATTCTACCGCCCCCCCCCCCCCTAGCCTCCCAAACCGGTAAAAAAAATAGGATAGTAACGTAAATTTTACCTTAAATTTAAAAAAAAACGCCCCCCTGACCTGCCAGTGACACAAATGCGGCATCAAAATATTTGTGCTTCTCTGACCGTAATTAAATGCCTAAAACCCCTGAACCCCCCCCCCCCCCCCACCCAATTTACGCTTGCTACCCTCTACCTGATCGTAAATACTTTAGCCCCCCACTTTGATAAACGTTCCGCGGGGCCTGTGTATATAATATATACGCATACAACACTGATCTTTATGATGTCTTTAACGTGACATATCTTCTTCTCCCCTTGCAAACGAGAAAGAAAACAAGGTCATTAAAAGGGATTAAGCGAAAAATAATGATTGTGATTCAAATTGATGCGAATATTTGTTTGAATAAGCACTGCAATTCACCCGAATCTTCTTTATAAAAAACAACTTTTACAAATCTCAGCCATGCTTACTGAGTTGAGACGTTCCATTCAATGTAAAATACTCATTAAAGAATACACTTCTCCTAATCTGAAAGTGATCTTACAACACAGTGGCAGATTTGCATGGCTGAGATTTGTAAAATTCGTTTTTACAAAGAAGATTCTGGTGAAAAGCATTGCTTATTCAAAAAAAATCGTTGCATCAATTTGAATCACAATGATTATTTGTCGCATGATCCTTTTATTAAATAACCTTGTTTTCTTTTTTGTTTGCAGGGGGAAGAAGCTATGTCACGTTAAGAAATCATAAAGATCAGTTGTATTATGCGTATATACATAATGATACCAGTACAAAATGTTGATTATCAGAATGTCATTTTGGAATACCTCTTTACAAATACCACATTGTCTTTAGCCCGTATTAGTACTAGTATGCGCCAATATAAAGCTATTATTCTTTATTCAGTTCAGTATAATGCTTTTCCTCAAAAATAGTTTCGCTATTTTTTTTAGGGTTGAGACGCTAAGAAATGGTTTCAAATGTACATTACACAAACCCTGAACCATTGCAAAATGATGTTGGTTCTCTCTCTCTCTCTCTCTTTATTTTAATCATGCATTATCAACTACATATAAAGAGGATTTTTTTGTTGTTGGTATTTTGAACCCCCGTATTGTTTTCCTGGCATCTACTAACATCTTACTGTGTGGGTCGATTTGGACACATAATGGCGTTTTTTCTTTGCACATCACATTTTCACTTGGCAGCCCAAGGGGGCCGGGGGGGAGGAGGGGTTAAACCCCTAACCCCCCCCCCCCCGTAGATCTGCCCATGTTACCATATCATTCTACGACATCGTGGTCTTCCTCTTCTTCTCAATAGGGACTTTTAGATTTGCGTGGACGTGGACGTGGACGTGTTACGTACTTTTAAGGCACTGGCAGTCACATGTGACGTCCTTTTAAGCACTGGCAGTGCCTTAAAAGGAGGTCACACGTTGCAGTCCACGTTCTCATCGTGCAAATATAAAAGTCCCTAATATTGATTTACTGGTCGAGGTTCATTATTTGCTGGTCTTTTGAAATCATCAGATTTCAGCGGGTTTACGCTTTCACAACGAAAAACTTCTCCATGACCATGTTTCTGCCCTTGCGCGATCGCCTCCAGCTCCAGCAGACATGGCGCGGCAGCGTGCACACGTACCGTTACTAACGGCGCAGTAGGCCTATAACCACTGCTGACGGCGGCGGCACTGCACTGCGAGCTGAATCGGTGATAATAGGCCTACTCATAGAATGGGAAATCCTGCACGCTAATCTAAGTTCTATTTCATTGGTTTAAGGTTTGAAAATTGAAACTCAATATTGTGTTAAAGTTATAACAGAAAAGATAATCTTTATTTTATAATTCCACGGGGGCGATTTTTAATTTTGCAATCGCCCCCGTGAGCAACCTGACGGGGGCGATTATGTAGCTCACGGGGGCGAATCGCCCACCGCCCCCGTGTATTTTGAGCGCATCATGACACTACTTTAAAAACAGAGCAATTATTGAACCACATTTTGATTTTGATTAAATTTATGATTTTCCACAGTAGAGAGAAGGAAAACCCTCCAAAAGCAAAAGAAATAGAATATAGATTATTGGAAAATAGAAATGAAGAGAAAAAACTTTCATTGGAAAGAGATACCCTTTCAATTCATTTAAGGAAATGGGAAGCCTAGAAAAGTTTAGAATAAATGAGTTCTGTTTTTAATTTTCTCAATATACAACTTCCAGACCCTCCTCTCTTCTCTACCTTTGCTTTACTTTTTCTTTTGTTTTGTCTGTTTGTTCGTTTTATGTTGGAGTGTGTTTTGTATACTGTTGTACTTGTTATGTGTTTAAATGTTGTGTGGGGCGGGGGGTAGTAGGTGTTTTTTTTTTTTTTTTTTTTTTTTTAGCTCTTTCTCTTTTTATATATATATATATATATATATATTTTGTCTCCGAAGGAAATTTAAGAGGAAAACAAAATATTGTGGAAAAGAAATAATCCGAGATTTATATGCAAACTTGTCGAGAAAATAGTACAACTTTATTTGCGATTTTTCTTTTTTAAATGTGAAAATATAATTTTGTTCATGTGAATATTTTTCATCTGTAAATGTGTAACTTTAGTTGTAACCTTGTATGTAAATGTAAAAGTTCATTTGCAAATTAATTTAGACCTATGTGAACATTATTTTGTTAGTTTGTATACAATGTTATAAATTATGTACAATTTTCTTCATGAGATAAATGAATAAAAACCTATGAAAACAAAAACAATGCCTAAATATTTAATTTCCTTTACCAAGCTAAGTTTTCCCCCGTTTATTGTAAATTCACTCTTATCATTTAGCGGTAGCCTGTCTGACTTGTAACATATCCGTAATTTTAGTTTCGAAGACATAATCTGACATTAATATGTCTGTGATGTTTTATATATAATGTTTTCTCTATGGACGGTTCAATAATTTGTAGTATTATTTGTTACAATTGACCATGATCTTGATTGTAAATATGATATTTTTGTGAAATAATTGATATCCGCGAAATCTCAATTAATCTTTGTGGTCTATTGTTTTGACAGAAATGATTGATTAACATATTGCTCCGTTTAGTCTCATTTCACAACGCCCCCTATCGTCAGAGTCAGCAGCCTAACATGTTAGCCTATGGACGTTTTTTTTTTTAATCGTTCAAAATTCATTTTTTGTTTAAACGAAAAGCACATCCACCCGACGTACGTTATCACTAGCTCTTTCATTTGAGCCCTCATATTCATTGACTTTTGAAAGTTCACCCACCTTAATTTTTCAAAATAGGTCGCAAGCTCGCCATTGCCTATAATACACATGTGAAACAAGTCGAACTTTGGACTCAGTCTGCCAAGCGATTGTAAGATTATGGGTCAAGCACACGAAGGATAATAAGCATGAATTATCATAGATCACTTCTGCTTGGTTCATTATATCCATTTCATCCAACCCCCCACCGTAATTTTTCCATTTAGTAAAAGCAAACATTTAGCCGAGGTAAGCAAAAACATGAATATTCATGACACACCATAGACGTAACTTACCCTATTCTGATGACTTCAATGAATGTCAAGATAACAATGGCTGCGTTTCCATCCAAAAATAAAAAATAGTTTGCAATTAGAAATAGTCCATTTCTCGATAATTTCACAAAATATATTTGCCGCCGCATTCAATATGACGTCATTGACAGCTGATTGGCTAGTTTGGTAGTGACGTCGAACGAGCTCTTTAAGCTGGAGTGATCCAGCGAGAGAAAATGAGACAATCGGAGCAATATGCAAATTTTTATTGAAGGGGTATTCATTTGCGAGTTTTGAATTCAGTATCTTATCTGTCTCTCTTGCTCTCTCTCTCTCTCTCTCTATCCATAGCTCTCCCACTCTTTTTTTTCCTTATTGTCCTTCTCTTCCACTCTCTCTCTCTCTCTCTCTCTTTCTCTCTCTCTCTTTTCCGTTTTCTTTCTATATCCAGCTCCTCTCTTTTTCACTATCTTTTCTCTCCCTCTTTCTTTCTGCATTTGAATGTACTTATAATCAAGGACTGAAGAAACAGAATAATTTATTAAAAAGCGAAATTCTGTAATATGTATTTGTACAATAATTCAGCTTTTAAAATTCGATATTCTCACTGCCCCTACCTCACACACGAATATGCACACACACACGCGCACGCATCTACACACATGTATTATATTCATATACCCTGTTGCAAATAAAGGTGGAATAATTTTTTTCCACCGACACATCCTCTGTTGATGAGTCCATGCATTTTGCAGAGGTAAAATTCATTCACAACACAGCATGCCGTTACGTAATCTAGCCTTTTGTTTTTGGCGCTACAAAATGCAAATCTTTGCTGCGCAGTCTTTTATAATTTATGCTCTTTACGATCCTCGCAATATGCCATTTTCGTAATGTGACCAAATTCAATGCATAAATCTTTGTAAAGTGCCTCTACACAAATTATTTCATCCACCTGATAAGAATAATAGTATTTTAATAGACAGAATCCGACTGCATACATTAGTTGTTGCCAGGTAGGACAAACATTATGGCTTGACCTACCTAGCAACACTTAATATTTGCATTTTGCATACAGGTATGAAAGTGGAAATGATATACTCTGCATGTTCTGCCACACATGTGGCTATAAACACTGCCTTTTCATGAACTGGTGAAGTTACAGTTAAAAACAATTGTGCAAGGGCCCCGTTGCCTAGGCTAGGGCAGGCTAACTTACTAATTTAGTCTATGAAAACAGAAAAATTTCATATTTCAAAATTCAAAATTCACAAAAGTATATTATTATTGCAGTTTACTAAGAATTGAAACTTTTCAAAATGCACTCTTTTACAATTGCAAATAATGCATTTTAATAACATGTGCCATTAATTTAAAAAAATGGATGGAATACGATATCAAATAGTATTGTTTCATGAACCATAATCAATGCATTCAGTCATGTGCTATTTCACAACAATTATCTTGGCACGCACAATGTCTTGTGACTTTTGAATTAGGCCATTTGGTCTTTAATCTGTGCTCATTCAGCCATACAGCGATGAATATTAACACAAAATGTACATAACACAACTGTATCAATATTGCGGTAAGATGACATTGTGTTCCATTTAAGGTTATAAAATTATGAGCAGTTCTTTAGGGGATAGTAACTTTTTGTGTTCTGTTTACATGTATGTGTAAATGTAGTGCTACCACCTTCAAACAGATTGGCTCATTCAAATCATTTTTCTTTTAGGCAAATTTCAATTAAAAAAAAACACGAAAATGCAAAACAAATAACTGATATATTTTAACTATTTTAGGCGTTTTTGTTAGGGGGGGGGGGGGGGTAAATTCGCTACTTTAAGTATATACGGCTTCAAAAACCCATAAAATAAGAATGGATTTAGCTATGACAAACAACCTCTTCAAAATACACTATTACATCATCTTTTAGTGCGCATGTATTATGTGCACAGATGTGCACCAGCTTCTTCTTTTGTTTTAAATCCGCAATTGTGTCCTGTTACAATGAGACTGCACTACTTGTAGCTACTTGCTCTCTCTATATAGCAAACGATGCCTGTTGGTCCCCCATGATCCACTTTTTTCATATGTTAGGTGAGAGCTGATTTGATGAGATAACCACCTGCCACTCACTCCTGGTCAAACTAGTACAGACGGGCTTTAACACCTTATATCGCTCACACAAAGCGAAAGGCGAGTTATAGCAAAATAATAAGATACTAATAATGGTTTACAAGGTGAAACACATATTGTACTTTTTAGTCTTTTCTGAAACCCTACAACTTTACAATCGTTCCAAATGTTTCAAATTGTAATTGTGTTATTCAGTAAGAATTCGTCCAGCTAAGTTCTCGCTCAAGAACCTTGACAAGTTTCCGATTAAAGGGTCTAAAGTGATCCCTCAGCTTTTCCATTAAGTCATCACTGACCTCTTCGTGCGGCCTCCCCTTGTTACCTGTCATACACATCTCAAAAGGATCTCGAAGGCAGATGAACCCTTTCGTCTCGTTGAAGAAAAATTTATCCTCGTCAAAGAAGCGATCAATTCCCAGAAATTCCTCGACTCTTTGGAGACTTGGGAGGGGATCCTGTGTAAACTCCTCCCCGTCCAAGACAAGGATTTGATGTCTAGGATATATGCGGTACCACTGTTTAAGGTATCGAACATATCGACTTGTATCGAGAAGACGATTAGCCGTTTTGAGACTACCATTTGGAAAAAGGACCGACTCACGAAAGGTAGATTTGATTTCATATTGTGGAGCAGAAGAATGTTCTTTGACGATGGGTAAAGTACCTGAACTTTTTACTTTAATAGCGAGCATGTGCATATAGTTTGACACTGCACGCTGTATCGGTTCGCGCATGATTATGATAAATTTGATATCAGGCAAAGCCTCTCGAAGTCTCTCTACGACTGGTATCCTGTTGAAATATCCCGCGGTTTTCTCTATTGCGATCTGATCTGGGGTAGAATAAGGCATGACTTTATTGTATTCATCAAATTCTTCCACCTTGTGATGGTTTGCAAATTTTAATTCCTTATCTGGGAAAGTGATAGCCGGGTGGATTTCAAGATAGGCCTTTAGAGCCGTAGTACCGCTCTTCATGGTGCCTGGAATGATCGCATCGGGTCTGCGTTTCTTGCATCCTCGTGCCCACCGAATATCTTGGCTTAAAAGTATGTTTTCGGGTGGATAGACATTGGTGGCTTTCTTGCAGTAGCATCCATGGTCAATTTGGCCATCCTTACACACGCGTTCCTTTCCGGGCTGAAGGTACATGAGGCTATTGGTTACAGGTGATTTGATCCTGATAGGGGCTGTAGAGACAGCACTGACCGACAAATGCTGCTTAAGAGCACGAATTGCAGTTTCTACATCATGTTCACAAGAGCACAGTGTAGAATTAGCACCAGATGCCATCGCGTAACGCAGTTCCCGGGAAGAGTCAACAGATGTCTGGTACGCTATGAAAAATCCTAGCATCAGGAGAGCGGTGATGGCCGCCATTGCGGCCTCTGATCTTCCTAATAAAGTTCGGGCCATTGTCGAAACAGAAGGATTCAAAATGTAGAAATGTAACGTCATTCAGCTATGCGTCTACCTCGACTCTGTCCATTCTGATAGACTGGGCTGCAGATAGAAGAAATAAGATATTAAAGGAGAGTGAGAGGAGACACAAAGACGGACATACAGACAAAGTGAAGATACATTTAACAACTGAATTATTCATACCCCTTTTAAATTTGATTATTTTGTGTTTTTCGTAACTCAAGAAAGAAAGGTAGACTGGTTGAATTATGGTTTTCCTGAATGAATACTTTGAGAGGTAAGCTTTAATATGTGGCACTCTAAAGAAACATACATCGGTACAAACTAATTTTCACATAGATAAAAAAAAATATTACACAACTTGGAAAGAGTATGAATAATTTAGTTTTTAACTGTAGATATCTGAGACAGAAATTGCAATTCGAAAGGTTAGGACGAGGGGCGGAAAGACGGATTCATAGAAATATGGGAGAAATAGAGAGGGGATGTGGTTATCAAAAGAGAGAGGGAGGGAGGACAGAATGAAAAAATGCATACACACAAAAAGAATGGATAGCTAGTACAGGATACGACGAAGAGAAAAGGGGATAAGATACGCGAGGAAAAAGGGTGCACATAATGACCTCTCCATTATTAAGTAATGATAATAATAATAATAATAGGCATTTGTATAGCGCCGTCTATCTAGACAATGCTATTCCGATATGAATATACACGTGCGTGTGGGTCCGTGTGTGTGTGTGGGTTATCTGAAGAAGAAAAATTGAAAAGCAAAGCCGTACTATCTAAATTCCTTCATAGTCTTTCTTGGTTTTTTTTTTTTTCTTCTGTATATTTAGTCGGGGCAAACTGAGAGATTGTTATAGCGCAGTAGGCATCTCCAAACCGATTGTACGATGTATTATACAGTGCGTCCCAGATATTAAAACGAAACCGAGAATCATCGATGTTTTATCATAACTTAATCGCAATTATGATTAATAAGTGACAATTATTTGTAAAGCTTAGATCCTCCTCTTCCATTTGATAAACCCATATGATGCATATTTCACGCATGAGTGATTAAAAACAATTTGAAGACAGGAAACTAAAAAGCCATTTTTAGGGCGGTATCTAAATTTCAAAGAGAAAATCACATTTCTAAAAAGTTCATTTTCTGTCCTTTCATATGACACCTCAATCAGGAAAAATGAGCCAGGAATCACAAAGTTCTGTTGGTTTAAAGTAATGCTTGCATTTCCATAATTTGATTAAACGAATTCGTATTCACTTGCTGCCTGCCGTAGCAACAAACGGAGGTGGCAAAAGACTTAACTCCATTTCGTTGACGATCAGCCATGCATCAAGCCTTTCGTCTTCTTTGTGCATGGCTCATCGTCAACGAAAGTATTCCGGCACATCACATTGACAGTATATGTATAGTGATCACAACTTTCATAACTTTATTATAGTTAGTCAGATTTAATTGAAACTTTCATCATTTTGCTTCTCTGATTTTTTTGCTTTCTTTTATGAGTGGTGTTGTCTATTTGGGTTGGATTTCCCTTTAAGTTACACTGCTAAACCGACTGATGTTTCGGCCATTTGGTTGTAAATGTGAGGATGTCTTGTATATCTATGTCTTTGGTGTCACCAGGGTGACGAGGCTATGTGACAAGAGCCTTTCTTCTTTACGAATCCTTACAGCGCATTGTGTTACGTAATACAATATAAAGGCAATCACTGCCTGTGTAAAAGACAAAAAAAAAAACATTCACTTTCAATACAAAGATCTCATGCCCGCTCCAGTGCACAATGATTAAGCGCATTTGATACTCTACTCAATGCAATGTACTTTTTAATAGCATGGACATGGGAATTGAAAAGGGATCTCTAGTATAAGGCACCGGTTTTTTTTTAACATATACCAAATGTGTCCACAAAAGGGTCAAAAATGAAATTATGTTTACTTACTTCAAACGTGTATTTTTAGGATCAGGACTATTCATATTTTTGAGAAATGCAAATTTTGGAGCTTAATCTATCTCCTTATTTATTCACCCCGGTAAAATTGATCAATATTGATCTAACCCTAACCCTAACCTAGCATACCCATATATTTGTGTCGAAATGTTGTTCTCGCTCGAGTGGTCTACTGTATATACAAATACGATAACCCTTTACTGAGAAGAAATTTAAAATATTGTGAGGGAGTTCATCCATAACTCAGGTACAATACTGTGCCGGCATGAGCTTTCTAGAAATGTAAGGAATACATACTTTTAAAATGTTAGAAACACATACGCAAACTTTCCAATGAGGCATATCGATGTACGTTGCATGCTTATACATTCATATTAGTCATTACGAATTTATGCTTATAAGTATATCTTCAATCCCCTTACCTGTTGCAATTGCGTAGCTGCTGTTTATGTAGGATTATCTTCTTTGATGAAACGCGTCGAATGAATATTCTCTACAGACTGGATGTTGCATGTGGGTAAGAAATTGAAAACAAACTCTTGTGAATTGGCGTCGCCTGTTCGATTATCCGGGCACCAGCTCCAGTTGTCTCTATCGTTGCTCGAATTGTTGGTGGCGCTCTTCTCTGCTTATTAGGGTGACGTCTGAATTTCTCAAATATCAAATTTGAAGGTTTGTTAAAAGCACATAGCTCCATAGGGTTACGTGTTAGAGCGTAGTTCGAATTAGTGTTAATTTACCACTGAATTTTTGTTTATCTCTAACGTTTTCACCTCCGACATTTTTTTTACCTCTGCCTGGCATCTTTACTCCTGAAATGTTTTGCTTTTGTATCTTTACAGCTGACGTTTTAAATCCGAACTAACAGTTTTGACGCGAATAATAAAGAAAGGTTTGTATTTATATTTTATTTTTCGGGTAAGACCGATGCCCCCCCCCCCCTCCTCCCAACGTTCCAACCCCTTCCACTTCCCTCATAATCACGCTGCGACAGTGCCTGCCAACGCCACTAACCTTTAGTAGTAAGTGTACTACATAATATGTAAAATCTCTCTCTCTCCCCTATCACACCCTTTCTATCTCCTTCTCTCTTTCTCTCTCTCTCTCTCACACACCCTCTCCCTCTTTCTCTCTATCTATCTCTCCCATATCAACCTTTCCCAGTCTCTCTCTCTCTCTCGCTCTCTGTCTCTCTCCTCTTTGTTTCTCCCACTCACACCCTTTCTCTCTCTTTCTCTCTATCTAGTGCTCTCTCTCCCTCTCTCTTTCTTCCCTGTCACCCCTTCCTATTCTATCTCAATCGCTCTCCCTCAACTTATCTCTCCTTTTGCTCTTTTACCAGCCCCCCCCTCTTTTTTGTAGGCCAAGAACAAAGACACTTCCTATAAAGACATACTTTGCTTATGAAATCTTACAACAATCTCATAACACCCCCTATAACAGGATTTCTCAAACTTTTTCTTTGATGGTCCAGATATGATTTCTTTGAAAGCTGTAAGATCAGAAATATAGGATGCCATCACCTGAAGATTCTTATGATCGATCCTATACCTCAACTTAAGTAGAACAATGTACAATATGATTGCTGGAAAGCCGGGCACGACTCAAACATTGCTCAATTTTGTTTCAGACTTAGACAATCTACATATTATTTTTACAGTAATAACACTTGTATACTGAAGATAATGAGGCTTGCTTAAGATATATAACTGATAAAAAAACAAAATTAACAGTTTTGAAAAACAGAACCGCCCAATTTCCTGGAATTTGATGGATTTTTCTTAAAAATTTCAAAAAATGAATGACTCTTACGTGGATTTTTGTTGTATCTGGTTGAATTGTTATGGGCAGACCAACGTCATACGACTTGTCACACAGTACCAGATAATGAACATCAAACTGCAGATTTTGCAAACGACAATTGATACTTCATTAAGAGGAAAAGGGGTAAAACTATACATTTTATCAGCGGCGGTTCCAGGATTTTTTCAAAGGGTGGGGGGGGGGGGGGGTAGACTCTAGCCCTTTTGGATGGGATCCAGAGTCGGAGTACAAAATAATACAGAGAATGTAATTATATATGTACGAATTATTTCATGGGGCCTTTTTTTGCGTTCTAATGGATCCATACAACATGGCAGAGATTGGGGACCTGGCAGTGTCTGAATTTTTGAATTTTTAAAAATTTAGGAAATTCAAAAAAGTCGTCACGAGCGATAGAATCTTGTATTGTTGTTCTTTCGTCCGTAGATTTCCTAGGCACTTGTCGAGGCAACCTATCGGAAATGTAATCCTGTAAGTGTAAATTTAAGTTTCATTTTCTTCCTTTTTTCTTTCTCTCTCTCTCTCTCTCTCTCCCTCTCTCTACCTCCTTTCCTCCACCCTCTATCTTATTCTCTTTTACATTATTCTCTCTTTCTCTGTTTAGGGTTTAAGAGCACTTCTTTCTTCCTTTCTTTTTTTTTGGGGGGGGGGGGGTCCAATTTTTTAGAAAATATTTAACGGCGACTTAGTCTTAGCATTTCCATAATTTTATCGAACGAATTCGTTTTCACTGAGTGACTGCCGTAGCAACAAACAGAGTTGACAAAAGACTTAACGAATATCTTATCATTTCCTCATCGAACATGAGGAACAAGATCAGCTCCATGGACCTCCAAGTTGGCAATGTGTCTGTCTCTCCTACGGTAAGCGCCCGTAACCTTGGGGTCTACTTTGATCAGTCCATGAAAATGGACAGGCATATTTCACAGGTATGTCAGACTGCTTACTTCCAGCTTCATAACATTGCATCCATTAGACCATTGCTTACGAGGATGGCAGCAGAAAGCCTTATCCATTCACTCATTTCCTCTAGACTTGATTTCTGTAACAGTCTTCAAGCTGGCCTTCCTACTGCAACCTTGAACAGACTTCAAGCAGTACAGAATGCAGCAGCACGTTTGCTTACTGGGCTAAGGAAGCATGACCACATCTCTCCTGTCCTGGCTGAGCTACATTGGCTTCCTGTCAAGAGCAGAGTTGAATTCAAGGTCCTGCTGCTCACATTTAAGGCAATTCATGGTCAGACCCCAGGATATGTGTCATCTTTAATCGAGCGGCGTCATCTTCGCCCTGGACTTCACTTATCTGGCCTTACTCTCCAGGTGCACATTACTCATCTCAAGGGATATGGAGACCGGGCATTTTCCTCTATTGCTCCTCGCCTGTGGAATTCCCTCCCATCATCTATTCGTGAAATTGACAATCTGGACCCCTTCAAAGCTTCACTCAAAACTCACATCTTCCTTCAGACATTTAAATGCTAATTTTATTGGAGGAGCTCGCGCCTTTGAATGTTTTTTGAAACAGATATAAGTCTGTTGTCAATTCTGCATGTTGTTATGGCAGGCACCCAGTGAAAACGAATTCGTTTGATAAAATTATGGAAATGCAAGCACTACTTAAACAAACAGAACTTTTCATTCCTCGCTCACTTTTCCTGATTGAGGTGTCTTTATGAAAGGGCAGAACCCCAACTTTCTAGAAATGTGATTTTCTTTTTGAAATTCAGATACCGTCTGCCGAATGAATTTTTGGTTTCCTCTCTTCAAATTCATTTTAATCACTCATGCGTGAAATATGCATCATATGAGTTGCATCAAATGAAAGAGGAGGATATAAGCTTTCCAAATGATGTGTCATTTAGTAATTATAAATGTGACTAAGTTATGATAAAATATCGACAATTCTCGGTTTCGTCTTTTCTGGGACGCACTGTAGTACACCTGATATTGACAAGAAATGGCAATTGGAGTGGGGCGGGAAATGTATCTTTAGTCATGGTACTAGCCAAAGTACAGGAGTTTTGGTATTAATAAATGGTAAGTTAGACATTGAAATTAGTGACACTTGTGCAGACATAAATGGAAGATATGTATTGATTAGATGTAATATACAAGGTCAGAAGATGTTGCTAGGAAATGTTTGTTTTCCTACTGGAAATAACAAAGGGGAGCAAATAAAATGTTTAATGGATTTAAGTGAGTTGTTGTATAGTTAGAAAAAGAGATTTTACTATCAATCAAGAATGTACGTTATAAAGATATCCTTGAACAATTGAAAATTAAGAAACAACAATTAAGAGAATTTTATGACTATATTAATGAAGGTTTGAAAAAACGATCAAGGGCCTCATGGTATGAATGTGGAAAGAAGAATACAGCATTTTTTAAACAGCTCATGGAAAGAAATAGATAGACAAGTGTAATACACAAATTAAACGTAAACGAAAAGATTGTTACTGAGAAAAAAGAAATTGTCGAGGGAATAAAACAGTTTTACAGTCAGTTGTATACAAAAATAGAAGTTGTACAAGATGGATGTTTAGATTTTTACCCTAGTAACTTGCCAAAATTGAACGAGGCCTTAAGGGGTTTAGGTGAAGAAAAGATAGTAGAAATGGAATGTATAGAGATATTAACAAATATGAAATTAAATAAATCACCAGGAAATGATGGCTTAAGTGTAGAGTTTTATCTTAAATTTTGGCCGGTAATTGGAGATCTAGTCCTTGCATCTTTTTATGAAGCTTTTAAACATGGAGAACTTTCAGCCTCTCAGAGACAAGCAGTTATCACCTTGATACATAAAAAAGACAAAGATTCAGACTTTATTAAGAATTACAGACCAATTTCTCTATTAAATGTGGATTATAAAATTGTAACAAAGATACTTTCAAAGAGATTGCAAGAAATTTTACCTAATATTGTAGCTTCTGATCAACTTGGCTATGTTAAGAATACAAACATTGGATAAGCCATAAGAATACATAGTGAAAATGCTTTTTTGATGGCCTTAGATTTTGAAAAAGCATTTGACTCCGTTTCTCAGTTTTTCCTATACAAAGTCTTAACATCATTTGGGTTTGGACCACTGATTGTTTTGTAAATGAGTGAATGTACTTCATACTAATACTGAAAGTTGTGTTATGAATGGATACACATCAACAGTGTGTTTTAAGGTTGAAAGAGGAATTAGACAAGGAGACCCATTTTCTCCATACTTATTTATTTTATGCATTGAAATTTTAGCTCATATGATTAGAAATAATCAATTGGTAAAAGGAATTTGTTTTGGAAATACAGAAATTAAGCAAGTATTGTATGCTGATGATATAACAATCTTCATGAAAGATATGGGTTCAGTTAAGGAAATAGAACATGTTTTAGAAGTTTTTTTTAATAAAATATCAGGAATAAAGTTAAACAAAGAAAAGACATATATTCTGCCCCTAGGCCCACAGGTGTCTAATCATACATTTCCGTTTGGGAAGCTTGTAGATGCTGTTAAATATTAGGTGTTTATTTTTCAGTACATGTAGATATCAAGGAAAAATTAATTATAAGGAAATATTGAGCAAATTAAAAAAACTACTGACGTGGTGGAAACAGCGTGACTTAACTTTAATGGGTAAAATTCAATTGATCAAAGTATATGAATATTCTAAATTGACATATGTAACATCACTAATGCCAGTTCCAGAGTGGGTATCCAAAGAAATGAAAGTAATATGTTTTGATTTCTTGTGGAGAGGTAAAGATAAAATTAAAAGAAGTACAATGATTTTAGACTATCAGCAGGGTGGGCTCAAAATGATGAATTTTAGGTTGTTTGTAAAAGCACAAAGAATAATGTGGATAAAAAGGCTTGTAACAGGAACTCAAGATATCAAATGGAAACAATACTTTAAATATTTAATGAGATCGATAGGAGGTAATTTAATATTTTATTGCAATAATTGGAGAGATACAGTGAAACTCATGTTACCTTCCTTTTATCAGAATCTTCTGAGAGCATGGATAGATATGAAAGAATAAGTTAAAACAGAAGAGAGATACAGAGGGAATTAAATATTGTATAATAATTATTTTATTCAACTAGAAGGTCAAACCTTATTTGAGGAAACTTTGTTTTTAAAAAATATATATCGACTTCATCACATTTGTGATGAAAATTGAGAATTGAAACCTGAAGCTCATTTTATAATGTTAGGTTTGAGCAGAGTGGAAATTGATAAAGTAAACAAAATTTATAAAGTAGCCCCTTATGAATGAAAACAAAATGTTCAACCTTTAAGAAAGTCGATTCACACTGGCTTTAGTTTAGAATTTATTTTTTCAAAAAAAATGTTTAGATTTGAAGATTTAACTGCAAAAATGGTATATAAGAGTCAAATTAAAAAGAATGTAGAAACAAACTCGGCAGGCGGCAATTTAATGTCACTTTATAATATTTCAAGAAAAGAAGTAGAAAAGACATTTGTTCAACCAATGATGTGTACCTTAAGTAGTAAACTGCGAGAATTTCAGTTCAAACTGTTGCATAATATTTTATATACAAATCATCATTTACATAGATTCGGGTTCCATGAAAATGGGTTGTGCTCATTTTGCAAAAAATTTGAAGAAACTTATTAACATGTATTCTTTGAATGTAATAAAATAAAGGAAGTCTGGGGGAAATGTGCAGATAGACTTAATTTACCAATTCTGTAGAAATTATCCTTGAAAGAAATTCATATAGGAATAGATGACACTACTTTAAAAACAGAGCAATTATTGAACCACATTTTGATTTTGATTAAATTTATGATTTTCCACAGTAGAGAGAAGGAAAACCCTCCAAAAGCAAAAGAAATAGAATATAGATTATTGGAACATAGAAATGAAGAGAAAAAACTTTCATTGGAAAGAGACACCCTTTCAATTCATTTAAGGAAATGGGAAGCCTAGGAAAGTTTAGAATGAATGTGTTCTGTTTTTAATTTTCTCAATATACAACTTCCAGACCCTCCTCTCTTCTCTGCCTTTGCTTTATTTTTTCTTCTTTTTTCTTTTTCTTTTGTCTGTTTGTTCGTTCTATGTTGGAGTGTGTTTTGTATACTGTTGTACTTGTTATGGGTTTAAATGTTGTGTGGGGCGGGGGTAGTAGGTGTTTTTTTTTTTAGCTCTTTCTCTTTATATATATATATATATATATATATATATATATATACATATATTTATATATATATATTTTGTCTCCGAAGGAAATTTAAGAGGAAAAAAAAATATTGTGGAAAAGAAATAATTCGAGATTTATAAGCAAACTGGTAGAGAAAATAGTACAACTTTATTTGCGATTTTTCTTTTTTAAATGTTGAAATATAATTTTGTTTGTGTGAACATTTTTCATCTGTAAATGTGTAACTTTAGTTGTAACCTTGTTTGTAAATGTAAAAGTTCATTTGCAAATTTATTTAGACCTATGTGAAAATTATTTTGTTAGTTTGTATACAATGTTATGAATTATGTACAATTTTCTTCATGAGATAAATGAATAAAAACCTATAAAAACAAAAACAATGTCTAAATATTTAATTTCCATTACCTAGCTAAGTTTTTCCCGTTTATTTTAAATTCACTCTTATCATTTAGCCTGCCTGACTTTAAACATATCCGTAATTTTAGTTTTAAAGACATAAATGTCTGTGATGTTTTATATATATAATGTTTTCCCTATGGACGGTTCAATAATTTGTAGTATTATTTGTTACAATTGACCATGATCTTGATTGTAAATATCATATTTTTGTGAAATAAATTAATATCCGCGAAATGTCGATTAATCTTTGTGGTCTATTTTTTTGACAGAAATGATTGATTAACAACTTTTTATTGAAGGGGTATTCATTTGCGAGTTTTGAATTCAGTATCTTACTTGTCTCTCTTGCTCTCTCTCTCTCTCTCTCTCTCCATAGCTCTCCCACTCTTTTTTTTTCTTATTGTCCTTCTCTTCCACTCTCTCTCTCTCTCTCTCTCCCTCTCTCTCTCTCTTTAAGCGGAGACTTTTTTTTTTTTTTGGTAGTCCAAAAAAAAATCGCAAAGACTCAGCCAACCGAAAAGTCGCTCAGTGGGGGGGGGGGGGGGAGGGGGGGGGGAGGGGGGGGGGAGGGGGGGGGGGAGGGGGGGGGGGGGGTAAGCGGAGACTTTTTTTTTTTCTGGTCTCGAAATTTGAAAATTTGACTTTTTTTTTTTGTTGGGGGGGGGTAAGGTCACTTTACGTTAGACGTGGGCATAATTTTTTTTTGGGCATAATTTTTTTTTTTTTTTATTTAAAAAAAAAAAAAAAAAAAAAAAAACCTAAAGGGGGGGGGGGGGGTTTTTTTTTTTTAGTTTGAACCCCCAAACCCCCCCCCCCCTGCGTACGCCCCTGCAGTGATGAATATTCACACAAAATGTACATAACACAACTGTATCAATATTGTGGTAAGATGACATTGTGATACATTTAAGGGTTATGAAATTATGAGCAGTTCTTTAGGGGGTAGTCATTTTGTGTGTTCTATTTACATGTATGTGTAAATGTAGTGTTACCACCTTCAAACAGATTGGCTAATTTAAATCATTTTTCTTTTAGGCAAATTTCAATTAAAAAAAAACACGAAAATGCAAAACAAATAACTGATATATTTTAACTACTTTAGGCGTTTTTGTTAGGGGGGGGGGTAAATTCGCTACTTTTAGTATAGACGGCTTCAAAAACCCATGAAATAAGAATGGATTTAGCTATGACAAACAACCTCTTCAAAATACACTATTACATCATCTTTTAGTGCGCATGTATTATGTGCACAGATGTGCACCAGCTTCTTCTTTTGTTTTAAATCCGCCATTGTGTCCTGTTACAGTGAGACTGCACTACTTGTAGCTACTTGCTCTCTCTATATAGCAAACAATGCATGTTGGTCCCCCATGATCCACTTTTTTCATATGTTAGGTGAGAGCTGATTTGATGAGATAACCACCTGCCACTTACTCCTGGTCAAACTAGTACAGACGGGCTTTAATACCTTATATCGCTCACACAAAGCGAAAGGCGAGTTATAGCAAAATAATAAGATACTAATAATGGTTTACAAGGTGAAACACATATTGTACTTTTTAGTCTTTTCTGAAACCCTACAACTTTCCAATAGTTCCAAATGTTCCAAATTGTAATTGTGTTATTTAGTAAGAATTCGTCCAGCTAAGTTCTCGCTCAAGAACCTTGACAAGTTTCCGATTAAAGGGTCTAAAGTGATCCCTCAGCTTTTCCATTAAGTCATCACTGACCTCTTCGTGCGGCCTCCCCTTGTTACCTGTCATACACATCTCAAAAGGATCTCGAAGGCAGATGAACCCTTTCGTCTCGTTGAAGAAAAATTTATCATCGTCAAAGTAGCGATCAATTCCCAGAAATTCCTCGACTCTTTGGAGACTTGGGAGGGGATCCTGTGTAAACTCCTCCCCGTCCAAGACAAGGATTTGATGTCTAGGATATATGCGGTACCACTGTTTTAGGTATCGAACATATCGACTTGTATCGAGGAGACGATTAGCCGTTTTGAGACTACCATTTGGAAAAAGGACCGACTCACGAAAGGTAGATTTGATCTCATATTGTGGAGTAGAAGAATATTCTTTAACGGGTAACATACCCGTTGTTGCGTTAACAACGAGCATGTGCATATAGTTTGACACTGCACGCTGTATCGGTTCGCGCATGATTATGATAAATTTGATATCAGGCAAAGCCTCTCGAAGTCTCTCTACGATTGGTATCCTGTTGAAATATCCCGCGGTTTTCTCTATTGCGATCTGATCTGGGGTAGAATAAGGCATGACTTTATTGTATTCATCAAATTCTTCTAACTTGTGATGGTTTGCAAATTTTAATTCCCTATCTGGGAAAGTGATAGCCGGGTGGATTTCAAGGTAGGCCTTTAGAGCCGTAGTACCGCTCTTCATGGTTCCTGGAATGATCGCATCGGGTCTGCGTTTCTTGCATCCTCGTGCCCACCGAATATCTTGGCTTAAAAGTATGTTTTCGGGTGGATAGACATTGGTGGCTTTCTTGCAGTAGCATCCATGGTCAATTTGGCCATCCTTACACACGCGTTCCTGTCCAGGTTGAAGGTACATGAGGCTACTGGTTACAGGTGATTTGATCCTGATAGGGGCTGTAGAGACAGCACTGACCGACAAATGCTGCTTAAGAGCACGAATGGCAGTTTCTACATCATGTTCACAAGAGCACTTTGTAGAATTAGCACCAGATGCCATCGTGTAACGCAGTTCCCGTGTAGAGTCAACAGATGTCTGGTACGCTGTGAAAAATCCTAGCATCAGGAGAGCGGTGGTTGCCGCCACTACGACCTCTGATCTTCCTAATAAAGTTCGGGCCATTGTCGAAACAGAAGGATTCAAAAATGTAGAAATGTAACGTCTTTCAGCTATGCGTCTACCTCGACTCTGTCCATTCTGAGAGACTGGGCTGCAGATAGAAGAAATAATATATTAAAGGAGAGTGAGGGGAGACACACAGACGGACAGAAAGACAAAGCGAAGAGACGGTTAACAACTTAAAGATAAAGTTGAGTTCTGGTCATGTGAATTCATTGTGAAAGAAACGGTATGGAATCTATCAGAAAAGATTGATCATCTAGTATATAAGTATTCGTGTGTATTGCAAGGTTCTGGAATCATCAAAATGATAAGAAATTTGGCCAAATTTTTGCAAAGTTACAAGCACTGTACACAGAATGATGTATATGGGACTACACGAGCACATGGCGAAAAAATCCTACCCCCCGATTTTTACGATGTTTCATTTCATATTTAGAATATGAAGGCATTTGAAGAGCCATGCTTTTCAGGGAACATGTTTAATCTGATGTTCTTCCACCCTTGCATAATAACAATGATAACGCTCACAAATTATTTTGTACCTCTTCCCAGTACTCAACCTTCTCTTTAATTACTCATACCCATAGGCGCCGGAAGCGGGGGGGGGGGGGGGGGGGGGGAGGGGGGGGGGGTAGCCCCCAATCGAAAAAAATGGTGGCAAAACGCATCCCCCCCCAAAAAAAAAAAAAAAACCGCCCCCTCCCCCATAAAAAATCAGCAGTAAAGGAATAAAAATGGTTTGTATTTTTTGACCAAAAATAAAATAAAAATTAATAACACCTGAATGGAATTACATAAAAGTTGAATTCCATTCAAAGAAAAGGAAAGAAAAAACTTATTTAATTTCCTAAACATTCCGCATGCCTCTATATTTTCAATGGATGATTTAATAATAACGATAGGCGCATATCGAGGAAATATTGTGGGAGGATGGGGGTGAGAAGACACGAGCCCCTGAACACTGGCGTACTGATGGAGGGGAGGGCAGTTCCCCCAAAATAAAATTCAAACGTGGTTTATTTCTAATTCGATACCAGTGATTTGTTTTGCCTGTAAAATATTCTTTTGTATGCGTTTGTTGGAAAATTACCAATTACAAAATTTACAGTCAAGCAAAACATATGCTTTTTTAGCAGCCTTTGTGTCAGGGGCTTGGGCCCCACACTTTTTTGAAAAAGTATGTTAAAGAGAAAATGAAAGAGAGAAAGAAGTGAGGTATCAAAATATGCTCATCTGACCGTACTTAAATGCGTAATACCCCTAAGCTTAGCTGGGGGCTCCGCCCCCTGGATGCTCATCTGACCGTAATTAAATATCTAAATCCGTTCGGCTTCCGGGGGCTCTGCCCCCTGGATGTCCATCTGAGATTAATTAAATACATAAAACCGTTTGGCTTCCGGGGGCTCTACCCTCTGGACCCCACCAAGGGCCCTAAGCCGGGCCCCTGGATGCTCATCTGACCGTTATTAAATGCCTAAAACCCCTGAGCTTCAAGGGGCTCAACACCCTGGAACTCCTGGCAATGATAGACCTGCCAGTGTCACAAATAGTATCTTAATAAATTATGCTTATCTGACTGTTATGTAACGCCTAAAACCCTTGAGCTTCCGGGGGCTCCGCCCCTGGACCCCACGCCAATTTATGCTTCACTCTACCTGATCGTTAATATTTCACCTTGAAAAAGGTGAGCCCCCTGGAATGTTCGCCCCCCCCCCCCCATCCCAAACTGCTTCCGGCGCGCCTGTTCATACCCCATGTAAATTTGATTTATTTTATGTTTTTCGTACCTCAAGAATGAAAGGTGGACAGGTTGAATTATTAGGGCCTTTGTTGAATACTTTTAGAGATAAGCCTTATTACGTGGCATTCTAAAGAAGCATGAATCGGTTCAAACTAATATTTCACATACATAAGAAATGACAAACTTAGAAAGTAATGAATGATGTAGTTCTTTACTGTAGATATCCAACTTGAAGACAGAAATCGCGGATCGGAACGGTACAAAGAGTGACGGAGAGACGGATTTATAGAAAGATGAGGAGAAATAAGAAGAGAGGGGTGAGGTTTTCAAGAGAGAGAGGGAGGGAGGACATAATGATAAAGGCATACACACACAAAGAATGGATAGATAGTACAGGAGACGACAAAGAGATAAGATATGAGAGGTAAAAGGGAGGACATAAGGAGATCTACATTCGATATGCATTCATGTACATGATAGTGCGAGTGGGTCAGTGCGTGTGGGTCCGTGTGTGAAGGTCCGTACTATCTTGCTTCCTTTATCATCGTTCTTGTTGTTTTGGTTTATTTTGTTATTTAGTGGGGGCAAACCCCGAAAAGGGGTACTTTCAACTTTTATACGAGAACATTAATATGAGATTTCAAGCCGAGGGTGGGGTCACGGGACACGTGTCCCCGACCGCAAAAGCCGTAGTGGAATAGAAACGAGAGAAAAAGAGGGTGCAAGCTAGGTTATGGATTATTATGTGCCCATAATACGCGGGATAAATTGGATTAAAATATGTCTTGTGGGGGTTTAAAATTCGACAGATCATTTTCCTAAAGCTCCCTCGCACAATTTTTCTTCAGACTCTCGTACTCTTTCTTCCCCAATAAGTGATACATTTTTAACTAATAGTGTTTTTTTAATAGTTCAAAGTCATTAAATTAAGTCGTTGCTTTGCTCCCTAATGTAGAAGTTTGTTCTTCAAAAGAAAAAAATGAAAAGAAGAGGGGGAAAAGAAGAGGGGGAGAAGAAGATAATGAAGAAGAAGAAGATAATGAAGAAGAAAGAGAAGAAGAAACTTGTCGGTCAAACTCAAAGAAGTGTTTAAATATTTAAAGACACTATGTCCCTTTAGCAGCCAACATCAAATGCTGTAGAACTTTGCAGGAATTATGAATATGCCATGTATGTCCTATCTGTAAAAATATAAACAGTAGTAGTGTCCTAGTATTCAAATTATGCAAGGAAACCCGTTTACCTTCTATATACTAATTCACTGTCAGAAACTTTTGAGTGATTGACTGACATCGTTTTTTCTTTGATAATAACATACATAAAATGAGCTGTAATAGGTACATGAGCATTTGTCTACATCAATAACCCACTACTTGTAATGGCCCAAATTAAACTGATTGAATCTTTGTGCAGCACAGCCTTTCTAAACGAATCCTTACAGCCCATTTGGTTACGTAATACAAATATAAAAGCAATCACTGCTAGAGCCTGCATGTGTACACCTCTTCTATATAATGGAGTCACTTTCAATACAAAGACGCAAAAATGCATGCAAACTCCAGTGCACAGTGATTTAGCGCACATAGTGTGCATATACATTTGCTACTCTACTCAGTGCAATGGAGTTTTATATCATGGACATGAGAATTGAAGAGGGATATCTATTAATCAATACAGGATGTTTGGTTTGGAATAGATCACGAAAATGCTCTCCTGTAAAGAATATGAACTTAGATATCAAAATGTGATACCAATGGTGTTCAAATGTTAAATATACATACGCAGCTTTTCCAGTGAGGCATGAAGATTTACGTTGATTATATACATTCATCTGTTCATATTAGTCATTAACAACTTCTTGGAATTATTATGCTTATCAGTATATCTTCAATTCCCTTACCTGGTTCAATTGCGTAGCTGCTCTCAATGTAGGATTATCTTCTTAAATAAAACGCGTCGAAAGAATATTCCGTACAGACTAGACATCAAGAATTGAAGGTTTTATAATCGCTCGTTGAAAATGCACTCCTGTTAATTGGCGCTGTTGTCAACTGTTAACTGTTGCTTGAATTATTGGTGGCGCTCTTCTCTGCTTATTAGGGTGACGTCTGAATTTCTTAAATATCAAATTTGAGGGTTTTTGGTCGAAATTTTGTTTAAGACTATCGATGCGGACGCTGCCGTGTTAAAGACACGGAGCTCCATAGGGTTACGTGTTAGAGCGTGGTTCGAATTAGAGTTAATTTACCTCTGACATTTTTACATCTGGCGTATTTTCACCTCAGGCTGGCACAGTTGTTTAACCTCTGCCTGGCATCTTTACAGCCAGGCGCGTACGCAGAGGGGGGGGGGGGGGGGGGGGGGGGGTTAAACCCCCCTTTGGTATTTTTAAGTGTATAAACCCCCCTTAAAAAAGTGTCCTCTTACCCCACCCCCCCCCCCCCCGGTTATTCAGCGGCCGGCTGAGTCGTTGCGATTTTTTGGTGACCCCCCCCCCCAAAAAAAAGTGTCCTCTTACCCCTGGCTCCCCCCCCCCATTGTTCCAGCCCCTTCCACCTCTCGTCAATGGACGACATCATGCACGCGCTACGACTATGCCTACCTACACCATGCAGTAAAGCAGGGGCGGTGATCCGGGGGCGGGGGAGGGGGGACACGTTCCCCTGTAGTTTTTTAGGGGGGACGATCGATTTTGAAAAAGAGCAAACAAAAATGTATAGCAAATACTGACTAAAGAGCGTTTAGACTAATACAAATGCAATTTTTTTTCTCGCTTGGTCGCTTCGCTGATCTCTCGCACAATATCCTTCAAAATGTACAAGTAAATATTGTAGAACGTCTGTATTCCGTTGGTATATTACGTAAGCAAATTCTACAATATTAAGAGTTATAGAAATAGATCAGTGCCTCAAAAATTAATATTCCGCTTGAGTCCTTTAAGGAGTCCCCTAAGTTCGTGTCTGGTTATACATATACTGTCGCCTAAAGGGAAATGGCGTACATCTTTCTAAAAACATTACGTCAATTAAGGTCCTTCATTACATGACTAATTTTCAGCACTTTAATGTTACACTCACATTCTGAAATCCCATCCATACCCAAACTCCCTACTTATTAAAATTGACCTACTAAGCATTTACAACCCTTCGGAATGCACATTAATTACCGCCACAGTAAAAGTGAAGTGTGAAAAAATATATTGCTTGTTTTTATACTATAATTTTGCTAAGGAATGTAATTGTTAATACAACAAAACTTCAAAAACCTGTGAGGGGATAGTCACTTCCGACACCTTTGCCCCTCTCGTTCACCAAGCGCCCTCGTCCCCGCGCATTTCGCCCCCCCCCCCTCCGGTTAAAGAAATCGCCGCCCCTGGGTCCGAGTAAGAGCGTATGAACAACTAGTGATTTTGATTTAAGTCATTTATTTATAGAATATGTATAGCTGCAGGGCCAAACTTACGCCGAATAGAACAGCCCCGTCTGAACATATGGATTATATTCAAATATATTTGCCATTGCTATAATATGTCAAGATTATGGCAAGCAATCGTAAGAAGCTGGGTCAAAGCATAGTCAATGGAGGAGGGAGGGGGAGGGGGAGGGGGAGCGCGATTAAGTAGCAACACTTGTATATTGTGTACATTTGTCCCTTTTTATATTAAAAATGCATGCATTCTCTCTTTCCCCGTGTCCATTTTCTCTGTTTTGCTCTTACTCTCACACACACGCGCACACGCACTCTCTCTCTCACACACACAACCCTCTCTCTCTCTCTCTCCTTCCCTCCCTCCCCCACCCCCTCTCTCTCTCTCTCTCTCTCACACACACACACACACACACCCACACACACACACAAGTCATCCCTCTCTCCCTCTCTTTCCCTCGATCCCTCTTCCCCACCCCTTCTCTCTCTCCCTCCCTCCTCTCCAGATTGATAATTGATAAACAGTACTCCAGTACTATATATGCAGGAAAGTTCTGTTATGATGGACATTCAGGCTATCACATTCACAAAATGATTTACATCCTGCATATTAAAATTATACCATCTGCAGGAGACCAAATATTCATAAGAAACACACAGATTTAATCCCACGTTATTTTATTGATAAATCCGACTTAATTTCATATAAAATCAATGAGGTATTAGTAGGGTAGATTACTACATAGCAATAAAAAAATATCTTGATGTAAAAATAAAAAATGGGTCAAAATACTACTGGTCTGTGCAAAGAGAGTTGACAGATTAATGGAAAAGGTAAAATAACATTGTATTGCCGCTCTTCCACGCAATCAGACCAATGTATATTATGTATAACAATTAAGTATAAAAAAATGACTTTGACCAGAACATGAAAAATATATGTTGCCAAAGCAACTGAAAGCATATCTATGGAATTATGAAGGTACAATACCATTACAAAAAGAATTTTTTTCAATGAAGCAGAAGTCTATTATTATTCATTCAAATTGATATAATACTAAAAAACTATAGCTACATTAGATTTGTATATAATTACATGCATCATTTTTATCACTGAAGAAAAAGTGGTGATAACATTGTTAACAATAATATAATAAATAATATCAATAACAATAACAAAAACATCAACAATGAAAATAATAATAATAACAAGAATAATGAAAATGATATCAACATTTGCAAAAGCAGCAAACAATTTTTGATATATATATATAAATATATGCCCCAAAGAGATTAAATAAAAATTTCTCATATATAAGAGAAAAGTATCAACTATACCATCCAAGTAGCAATGTTGATCTATGTAGAGTGTGTATCATCATTGTCTATAATTTGCATATCCATGGGTATTGGAAGTATTTTTTTTAGAATTCAGATACCTAAAGAATCCCACTACCTTGTTGAATATTAGAACAGTGTATCTTCAAGCAAGGAACGTATCTAGGCTTGAAGCTAATGATGGTAATGCACAACCTCTCAAATCATCCAAGACTGTGAAGGTACTGGGTTTCTAGTGGTATACCCGCCTCCCCTCCTCATCCTCCTCCCCCCCCCCCCCCAAAAAAAAAAATAAAAAAAATAAAAAAAATGGCACAACCGCCATGTAAGGGTAATGAAGTATATTCCACTGTCAAGGGGGCATAACACAGTAATTTTGTTTGCATATCCCAGTCATATCATTAAACTTTCCTTTTAATTGTATTTCAATACCATTTTTAGGCCGTTTTTTGGGTTATTCACATTCAAGGCATTATAATTGATTTGCATAATACAACATTCTCTATCAAGGTGGATATAGTTATTAACATAAACCAGATATCATCAAATCATAAATTTGGTACCAGAATTATAGTGTCACAGAAAAGGTAAATTGTACAACAGACAGTTCCTAAATCTCCATTTTCACATCTCTAGACTATTAAATTCACATGCTTAATTAAGAGACACGTTGGCATATAATACAAGATATTTAAAAAGACCAAATAAAATCCCTATCATCTATAAATAACTTGTTAAAAGTGGACAAGGCATATTTGAGCCTTGCTACTAATCATATACAAATACATTCTTTTATTACATATGACAAATTTGTAGTAAAATTCTTTTTTTACTCGAAAATGAATTAAAATAGTCTAGCAGAAAATTCAAGAACTTGCAAGAGGGTCGTGACCATTTTTAACATGACTATATATCTTTAGTTTGATGATTTAATGAACATTATGCTTCTTTGTTATAATCACACACATGGAGTATCATTTGGTATATTACATAAAAGCATTGTATATTAAATTTAAAAAAGAAGTATATTGGCTTCTCTTGCTACATTCATATTGCATTCACGATGCATACATATCATAAGAACAAAGATGAAGGAAGACATTTTGTAATCGAGTACGGAAGCCAAAGATGACAAATTTAAGGATGTAAAATCTTGTTAATCTCTCTAAAAACATCTGCATATATTATGTTTTAATATGAATGAAATATTGACAGCACAGGAATACCCTGTAAACAAAAATAAAACCTACATATATGTATATATATATACACACACACATACACACACCCTTAATATTCATATACACATTTACACATTTACTCATATACTACACAAGCTACTTCAAAATGTAGTGGATTCAAGATAGGCCTAATAGCAATAATTCAGGCGAAGATATTATTTTTTAAGTGACTGCATCAAGGAAATCCATAGGAAAAGTGAAGGGAGTTAACATTTAGAACAAACAGGAGACAAGTACATTATTAGACTAAGCAAGTTCCTTGGCAGGTAGGGAGGGGTTATAGCCTACTAAATGCTTACATTTTTTTTTAATTCACAAATTTGAAGAGATCTATGCATACTTCAAGAGAGAGAGAGAGAGAGAGAGAGAGAGAGAGAGAGAGACGGGGAGGGGTGAAGAAGGGTAATTTAAAAACTACAATAAAACTGTTTGAGGGAGGTTTATATTCAAAGTTATATGATTTAGACCATTAGGTGATATATGACATCAATTTCAAATTAATTCTTTACATGTTCATTTGCACATTGCAATACAAATACCTCTGCATCATACAATTACAAAAAAATAATAATTTTTTGTTTTGTTTTTTTTTTTTTTTGTTACTGTTAACTGTTTTACTATTACAGTTGAAATATACAAAGGAAATTAAACTAATGCAGTCTTCAAAACAGCTATCATAGCAGCAGTTATTCACCATGACAATAACAATGACACATAAAAAGTACTGATAGAACTTGCTGACACTTTCTGTATAATAGTATTTAAAAAAAATGAAACCACATTTAACATGTAGAGACTCAATAAAGCATATGCTCACTCATTGACCCTGGTCGTAACAGATACAATAAAACACTAATCTTGTGGCACCATAAAAGATAAATAACAACCTACAAGCCAACATTAATCTTCCTTGTAATGCTAATTCCCATGACGATTTCTACTTGGTTCAAAACATTTGGAGTCTAATAATACCCCTAAAGCAGAAAATGTCCTTGGCAAAGGAAAATTTTGTTTATAGTTTGTATGGTAATACTTTGGTATTACATTTCATTTTAACATCATATAAAAATAATATAAATAAAGTATTTGTGGAAGACTTCGGCTGATTCAGCCAGATGGCCACGCAGTCAGAGAGCATGGCTTGTTTAGAAATAATTGTAGGGATCCATAGGGCCTCGAGACTTGTCTCTACCTTTTCCACGGTACGTTTTGAATTCTTCAGTCTCCTCCTGTAATGAAAACATTGAAAGGTTTGAATTATTATAAGGGAGTGTGTTTGCAATGTCAAATGGCACAGTTTGAAGAGAGGTGCTATTACTAAAGATTTCATGACCAAAAAGACACATCTCCATGTGATTTTACAAAACAAGCTTGGTGATGCTGTTGTCTGCTCCCTCAAAAACAAAAGTTAACAGCTTTGGGGGTTCCATAGTGGCCTGATGATCCTATTAGGAACATAATTCATCTAGAACTGACAGCCCAGATGGTTCTAGATATAAAAATGTGCATATATGTAGACAGCTTACCACGAGCCAAGACAGAAAACTATTTAAAGAGTCCATTGGGTGATCAATTCCAATTTTGTTTTTAACCAGTCTAAATCCCATGATATCATGAACAGAAGAAAGGCATCGATCACAGGGCTAACAAATGACTCTGGTCTCTTGGGTCCTACAGTGCAATTATACCACTACAGCATAATCAAAAGCATTTCAATTTTACAGGCATGTCCCTGAAAGTCATTATTTTGGTGGCATTCTTTCCTTCTCCTCTTAAATTAATTTATCATGCATTGTAAACATGCACAGGCATGTCTATAAGTGAAGTAGATAATCTGTACTTACGGAATATGCATTGCTCTCTGTACCATCAGCAACATATGGTCTCTCAAAGCCTGCATTGTGGTATTCAGGATAGAGATTCCTTGGTTGTACAGAAGCACGGGGTATACCACCAGCCATGAAGTTACTTGTGGAAGGAAGTTCTCTGGGGTCGAAAGACGCTTCTGGTCGCTGATCGGCATGCTGGGAGGTGCGATAAAGAGGATGTAAGATATCAATGTAATGTGTGTTACAGTAAAAAGGCAACAATTTTGGGAGTGCTTTCATTAACACACACGTTTTTCATAGTTTCATCATAATCACCATCAAACATTATTATCATTACAGATATTTCAAAAGAGGGACAGTGAGGAACAAGTAAAGGTAATGAGTACACCTCCTCCTTTATCTTGAGACCGTTTTACATAGATGAAATTTATTTTAGAGGTACTATAGTCCCATTTGCAGGCCCACGAAATGAAAAGGTTAAATTCCATCAGCATTTGAAAGATACTAGTTTAGAACTTCCCTCAAAACGAAAGGGTTTGAAAATATCTTTATGTGGAAAAATAACTACCATTAGTTGTAGAATCGACTTTAGGGATTGCAATTCTTTTAGTAAATAGTCTGAATTTCAGACCCTTGTCAGTCAGTCAGTCACTCAATAGTATCTGACAGTGAAGTCCTGAAAGTAAACGGGTTTCCTCACATAATTTGAATACTTGGACACTGCTGATGCTTAAATTTCACAGATAGGACATACGTGACATATGCATACTTCCTGCACAATTCTACAGAATTTGATGTTGGCTGCAAATGGAAAATACACAAGAATGGAGATCATCAAAAACAGAATTCGGGTTAAATTAACTGCAATTGCTCACCATATTCCACATGTTTCTAATGATGCCTGAGAATCTACTATCAATGGTGTCATCATCGTCATCATCCTCCAAGTTAAACATTGGCCTAGCAGGAGGAGCAGAGGGACGCGCTGCACCACCCAACGGTCGAGCTCTGGTGTTCTGGTAGTAGTAGAAGTTGTCCGAGGACTCGCTGGCAAACTCTGCCGGGTCGTTGCGCACCACTGCGCCACGTGATGGCGCCGATGATTGGGCGGGGACGGCGACTGCAGGGGCATAACGACGCCCTCCGTAACCCCAGTTCTCTGCTCCCTCCAAGAGCTCTCGCTTGCGTTGCCGTCGACGACGAGCAGCAAAGACGATGATGCAGCAGAAGCAGAGAACGATGACGAGGAGAACGAAACCAACAACTCCTAAAACGATACCGACAATGACGCCGGTTGAGAGACCAGGAGTTGATTCTAGCTGGCACCTGACTCCTTCATACCCATCCAAGCAACTATCAAGAAGAAAAAACATTTAAACAAAATATTATAAGCAATATGATAATATTTGGCTAGGTTGGAACTTTAATTTAATCATGAACTGAGCAGTCAAGAACATCAAACAAGGTTCCAAAATATCTTCTGAAAATGAGGCATAGATACAAAAATAAGAAACTTAAAAATAGCTGAACCTATTTCTGTTTATGCTGTTTGAGGTCACTAAATCATGTGACTGAACTCATTATTACATGTACTAGCATATCTATTGATTTTAATAATATATGTCAATAGACATAACAATTTCCACAATACTTAATTACCAAAGAAAGGCTGGGTCTGTATGTACAAAATTTAAGCAATGCTACAAAAAAAAAAAAAAAAAACAACTTGTACACTAGTAAATCATTTTTGCATTATATCAACTCACGTGCAGGAGGCAACTCCATTGCTGTCAACTTCGCAAGTGCTGTTGTTTTGGCAATCCAACTCCTCACAGGAAACTGGAATTTCACAAAACGTCCCTGTGTACTGTGCGGGGCATCTAAATGTCAAATAGTGAAATAAAAAATAGTGAGATTAAATGCACCCCTACAGGAATAATAGGCATCTGAATGTTTGCAGTTTCACCAACACAAAATATATTAAATTATCTTCCTATTAAGGCGCTGGCTAGACAGATTTTTCATGTGTTTTCAACAAAATGGGGGAATCTATCACAAAGTCATAAAATTACTGATTTTACTTTGCAACTTCCTCACAACATGTACATAAAAGAATAAAAAAAGAAATTTCCACTTTGTACACTCTGCATTGAAAATTTAGTGACAATTATACATTTGTATTAAATTGTTCTTATTCACGAATGGCACAACATACTGCAACAGAAATGGCCTCAAATTTCCCAGTGAGTTTTGTACTTTCAGCTTTTGTACAATTTGTAATTCAGAGCATTCTGGAGAAAAAAAATGAATATAAAAAGTCACAATAAGGTGATATTAAAGTGCTTTTGATTATGTATTGTAGAGGATGTGGGGGGGGGGGGTGATTCTCAACTAAGTATGCAGTCATCATTAGGCAAAATTAGGATAAGATGATTCTACTTACTCGCAATATGGATCTCCTATTATGTCCACTTGGCATACTCCTTCGTTCTGGCAAGTATAGCCCTCGCAGGCAACTAAAATAGAATATCAAAATATTGATTGCAAACATCAGTTAATCATAATCACTTTGACAAACATGTTTCAAACACAAAAATACTAGATAGAGAGATTCATTAAATAAAGGGTCTATTATTTTCTTACAAAAATGATGTGTGCCTGGCCGATAATTTGATGAAAACTTTCAAATATAATTCCATCAGTACAACTATGATGAAATACCTAACCTAAGTACACCAATGGAAACTGTTGGAAGTCGGTGATCTTTTTTCAGTCACATACTTCTACATAATATCAAGTTAGGACAAAATGTGAGAATTATTCTTATCTTTCTCTCTTTAGCTACATGGTGTATCTATATTGTATTTTGTTTACTTCAAAAGTACTTCAAGAGTATTTCACATATTCAATATCATGTTAACAAGATAGATCTTGAATTTCATTCCGAAACTGGAGCCTCTTGGATGCTCTATATAGGAAACCAACTCACCCTTGTTTTCGCAGACTGGTCCACCAAAGCCAGGCGGACATCTAAGGAGAAAAAAGAGAAATAATCATAACATTAATTATAAATACATTATCGTTAAACAGCAGAGAAATAATTTCACTAAGAAGCAAACATATCACAGATTTATCTCTGATCTCTAACAAAATATTGTTTAAATATGCTGGAAAAAGAGAAAGTGACATCATCAAACTGATTTACCATGCAGATCCTCTTCCTCCATTATTTATATCCTATTTGCCATTTTCTTGAACTTCTGTACAAATTATTAATAGTGCTGCAATAATACAATGACACTGATAGCATTTAATGTCCTTCCTTTAGAAAAGAAGTCTGTATTAAATCATTAACCTAGCAAAGAAAGATATCAGTATCCTTTATATTGCTTACTTCAACCATGGTGACAATATACCAATTTTATGGGATCTCATTACTGAAGGAGAGATGAGGAAGAAGAAATAAAAGAAAAAGAAAAAGAAAAAGGATGAAGAAAAAAAAAGAATATACTGAATGGAGAAAAAGGGGAAGGAGGACAGATGAAACAAAAGAATAAAGAAGTAATATTAGTAATATGACTTACGAACAAGATGTTGTATTTGAAGTGACATCATACAGGCATGCCCCTCCATTTTCACACGGAGATGGCTCACACAGGTCTGGAAAGAAAATTAGAAATAAATATTAAGGAATGTAATTCTTCTGAAAGCATAGCTTGTAAAGAATAGGTTCCTGGGAGTCGTAGACAAATGAGCAGGATAGAATATGTTTACTTTAGAGAGACGTACATAATCTCATGTAAGAGGGTAATAATTTGACAAATAATTGCATACAAGTTCAATCAAATTTGGGACAATTAGAGAAGAAAGAAAATTGAAATAACAACAACAAACAAAACTATCCAAACTAAGAACTCTCTTAAAGGTATTACAAAGTTTTGGAAAATTTTGAAAAATTAATGGGTGGATAGTGATTCTTTACAATTTTGATATATTTGGATGCCCCTGTGGATGTATTGAAAACACCAGAAATTTTAGCCCCTAAAACACTTCAGCTTTCGAGAAAAATTGAATATAAAGATTTACCGGTGCTCCCGGTAAATTAATAATTTTTTTAAATAGCTCCTACGGCCGTACGATGGTAGCTGCGACCATGAAAATCTCAGAGTATGTAGTTGTGGTATATCATTTCCGAACGAGAATAGCTAATCGGTCGATTTTAGTCAATAAACATTTTTTATAGCTTAATTTATATCTTGACCTTGAGAGGGAGCTATTCAACATAAAGTGTTTATTATTTACAATTTCATAACTTTAGAGTCGATTTCGACCGCGAAAATGATCACTGAATATTGTAGGATCGTACATGCTTCCAATATGTTCATTTGAACCAAATTCATGACCCCATACCAAAACTTTGTATTACCTTTAAAGCTCAGCCAACTCTGATTATTATTATTATCAAATAAGTACAAGTACATCGTACCATGCCTATAGCCTAGTAAGAAGGATGGTGTACTTACTCTCATATATAAGTTCTTCTACATAGATGGTATAAACATTCCCTGTCCAGTTACTTGGAGAACCTTGGAATCCATTATCACTAGCGACCTGGGCCCTCATCATGGCTTCCATCTGAGAGGTGCCGTAGATATCGATGATGAAGTCGACGATGATACTTCCTGGGCGGAAGGCTGTGATGTTACATTCGATGAAGGTGTACGGCACATCGACATTCACCCATATATTTATCTGGTACATGAACTGCAACATAGCAAGCAAATATATACAAAACAAATTAGGAATATCATCTCTGTTTGAATAGCAGATATTATGGAGGTAGTATGGAGGTAGTTTATAGTATGAAGGTAGAAGAATACAAGGTATTATAACTTTCTTAGTTTTAACCAGATTTAGCTAAAACTTTGCAAATCTTTTCCTCTTATTGCAGGGTGGGCTTCCCCTTTATAGGCATCAATGAAGCAGTCATACATGTATATCCCAAAGTAAATAGGCAGACTCAAGCTACATCAGAATAGGGCCCTGTTTCATAGAACTTGTTATCAATAACAAAATTCAATAACTGTTATAAGCTACTGAAATCACGGCATTTGATTGGATGAGAGCAAATTTGTCATAGAAATTTAGCATTTGTTATTGATATCAAGTTTTATGAAACAGGGCCAGAAACTACATAAGTACAGAGAGTACAGAGCCTTTTACACATGCCAGGTATTTTCTTTAATCACTCACCACATCACATGTGATGGTAGTCATATTGGTGAATTCAGCTGAGCCTGTGTCTGCTAATTCAGGACGGTAGGTCACTTGATCACCGTTAATGCGATTGTATCGGAAACTTCCAGTCAGTCTTGTAGAATCTGTGAATGAGGCACACAAAAAACACTTTCTTATACTGAATTTACAGCTTGAACCGTGAAAAGATATTTTATTCGAACAAGATCCAATATTAAAATTACAGAGTCAAATAGAATTTGTCTTACTAGCTCAAATCCTAAATCTTGGAAAAGTAATTTTTCTTTCTTCTAAATATAATGCAGGGTTTAACAAAATTAAGGAAATCCAAATAGAAAGTACAATATAGCAAGTGTGATTTCCCAAATAAAACCCTGCACATACATTATCTATAAAGCATGGTTCTTTCATACATGCCAACATTTGAAAATCAGAAATCTGTACAAATTATGCTATTTAAAAAAAAAAGAGGAACAATCCTAACTCTCCTATTCAATACTACAGACAAATTTGTACAGGAAGAGGAACACCTGCATTAAAATGATAATTATCTTCTCCCAAAAAGAGGAATGTTCCTCTTTAATCTGAACAGTTGGCATGTATGTTCTTTACACAAGTTTATATTGTGATTCTACGTTATGTAAATTTCATTTAAAAGCAATTCAATCATGAAAACAAAATGATGTCACGTACACAAACACATTTCCTCGTATAGTCTAGAAGAATTGGCGCAGTAACACTCAAAGCCTGGCTCTAATTCAGTACAACCTTCATTTACTCCTGAACACGATGTTCCTAACATGCACTCCGAAGCATCTATAGAAGAAGAAAACAAATTGATACAATATAATAATTGTCATGAAAAAAGAAACTAAAATGAAATGAGAATAACATTTTTGTTAGTAAAGAAATCTTCTCAATATTTTACATTTCCAATCAAATTAGAAGTACTGTATTTTTAATTGTTCCCTACTGCATATCCCACCAGAATGTATCAAGAGGGTTAAAGAACTTTCAGAACTTTCATGGCAAGGTCCTCAATTACTACACGAAGGGTATAGATACATTTTGTCATGACTACGGTACTTAACAAATATTAATTTTTATAGATCACAGCTTCCTACAACCAAAATTCACGACCGTCTGGTGTTGAATTCAAACTCAAGACAGAATGCATGATTTACGTGCAAGCTACATTTCAGTATGGATCATTGCTGCAAGATTTTAATTAGTATAACCACTAATCTCAATGACTACTAAATCAGTCCTTAGGCTCAATACATTAACTAGCTGGTTCATGTAGGTAATGGGAAGCTTGATCAAATGAGGTTCAGAAGAGTCATCTTACTATCAAAGAAGAGAGATATAAGTTGGACGGTGTTCCCGTTCTCATCAGTCCAAACTAAAGGAGCGCCAGAGAATCCGTTGCTCATGATATCGGATGTAGAATTTGCTACTTCCTCTGTATCCTCCCCATACACGGTGATGACATATGACACGATCGTCTCTGGGTATGTACCCGCAGCAAAGCTGGTGACCTCACAAGAGGACATGGGGTATGGCGTGCTGGCGTTTACCCAACCATTAATCACATTTAGAAACTGAAAACAGAAAAGAGACAATAGAGAAAAAAAATGATCAAAGATAGATCGTAGAGAGCAAAAAAGATATTGGGTTGATGATGTATGAAGAAGTGACATCACAAAGAACTTTCATTTAAAACATCGTCAGACAAGATTTACTTTACGTCCACTAGATTACCATAAGAAAAAAATGTTTTGGTGGTCGGTACACTTAATGTGTTGCCGTAGGACATTTGTAGCTATACTATGATAATGTATTGAAGTTTAAACAGCAAGAATCTTACCGCTGCACAGACTAGGGCTTCCAAGTCCATGTATTCCTCCGACGTTGGATCTGATAGCGAGGCTGTGTACGGTGCGATCCTGCCGTTTACCAGGTTGATGGTGATGGACCCAGTGATGGTGGAGCTAGCTATAGTTCAAACAAACAATAAGGTGTTTACAGGTCATTGGTGGTATCATGAGATGTGCAAGAGTGAGTGAGAGACAGACAGAGAGAGAGAGACAGAGAGAGACAGAGAGACAGAGAGAAAAGACAGATACATGGACAAGGATAATAAGGGGAGGACAGTGAGATCTGAAATTTGAAAGGATGGGGAAGAGTGGTAGAAAAGGAAGATAAAATTGTTTGACAGACTGGAATCAGTTTAGAATGTAAGGTATAATATTCATCATCTGAACAATTCTCACTTTTATTCCTATTGCCAATTCAATTTCTTACAAATTTTTGGCTTCTAGAATGAGTGAAAAATGTGCAGCTCACAGGATAAAAGAGAGACATTTTCAGATAACCAAATATTGAACAAAAGAAACAACAGATAGAAGGATCACATAGAAGAGATATCAAGAGAAAAGATTGTGCAATTGTATCAAACTTACTCAGGCAATAGCCGCTTGTCCTCACGAAGCCTGCAGCACACACACATTGGTAACTTCCATCTGTGTTCACACACTCCTCATTAGCCAAAGTGCACGGATTACTGCCACCGGCACACTCATCAATATCTATATAAGAGAGTATATTAAAGTCATGAGAAATATTGAATTGAATTGAATTGATCTTTATTTCATTCATCATAAAAACATCATAACAAACATAGCGCACAAGTAAAGAGAAACATTTATCAATGTCTGGTGAAAAAAGAAATATGGCCAAGATATTATTAGTGAAAGTTTGTATTAGTTGAAAAAGAAAAATCCATCATTTTAGTCCTAGCTCTAAGATTAACATGAAAGGAAAGAATAATATAACCATATAATATTTCATAATATCACAAAAAGATACAAATTCTGATCATATACATGATCATTACAAGATAAAAGCATTTTTTAATCAAAAAATGCATGGCCCTACTGTCTTTTATAAATGTTAAGGAACACTGCATTTACAAACCTAGCAAAAACAGTTTGATACATGACAATCACGACTTTCAGGAATTTAAATAAATACCTAAATTTAGTGTTGGATATTCATTCTTCATGAAGTAGAATTCCTGTACCCTTTTTGTTATCCAGTTACATAAAAGGGTATGACAGAGAGAGAGAGAGAGAGAGAGAGAGAGAGAGAGAGAGAGAAGGGGTACACATCAAATACAAGACATTTTATCAGTTCAGATTCAAAACGATGTAAAAGCTCATTGTCAATATCAGCGAGTGCCAGGGAGCTGTACACCATGTTAGAATCTAAAGGGGTAACGTTTAACAGAAACTTACCTTGACACAGTGATCCTGGGGGCGAACCCATGTATCCTGTGTTACACGTGCATATGTAGCTGCCGACTGTGTTGTTACACATCGAGTTACTTCCACAATCATTAGCAGTTACACATTCATTGATATCTGTAAGAGAAGATAAAGGGGTTTATGAAGCAAGGAATGGTTAACTAACACAGAAGACTTCACATTTAAAAAAAAATGTAAACAATGTGATATCTGTAAGAGAAGATAAAGGGGTTTATGAAGCAAGGAATGGTTAACTAACACAGAAGACTTCACATTTAAAAAAAAAATGTAAACAATGTGGGGTTTCAGCAATTTTTTTATCTTGTCTTATTGTCTTGCTTTTTACCTGTTATTACAAATTTATTTTGGTTAGTTATTTGAATGTTTATTCACATTTACGAAGATGTAATTTTACTATTTCACTGAATGTAAAAGAATCTCATTCAAGCTTGTACATGTAGTCAAAATAAAGCACTTTGAGACAATCACTGGATTTGTGAAATGTTGTGAGGTGACTCTGTGAAGATCCGAGAAGATTTACAATGATATGTACAAGTAATCAAGAGCACCTAGCTACCCAAAAGTGTCTCAAATCCCATACATAAACTGGCAGTCAAGATTCCAATCGGACAGCAATTTATTCCCTAAGACATGGTTATAATTATCATGACTGATTTTCCTACCTGAGCATGTTCTTTGATCAGCTGCTAGCATATACCCATCTGTACATGAACAGTTGTAGCTACCTGGTGAATTATTACAAGTTCCAACTGACCTGTCGCAGTTATCCGTCATGGCAGTACACTCATCAATATCTGAAGAATGAACAGAAGTATTATTCAATTCAATTGTACAATTTCACTTTATTTGGCATCATAATTTTTGTTACATATCATAAATACATAGTAGGCCAGAACCTCTAAGAAGCAATTTGTGCTTGTACATGAGGCCCCGACCAATAATGTCATAAATAATCCCAACAAATTTACAGTAGAAAGAGAAAGAGAGAGAGGGGGAGGGGGTGAGGGAGAGAAAGAGAGGGGGTGGGGGAGAAAGAGATGGGGTGGGGGAAAGAGAGAGAGGGTGGGGTGGGGGAGAGAGAGAGAGAGAGATTAAGTAAAAGCAAGAGAGAGAGAGTGAGAGAATGAAAGCTCAAACTACAGATGCACGACGTCTTGCTTACCTTGGCAATGGGTATCATTGTACTTGGAGAACCCTCTTGGGCAGGTACAATTAATAAGGCCAGTAGCATTCATACACATCCCACCTCCTGTGCAAGGATCAAGTACAGCATTGCATTCCATTCCAGGAGCGACTATAAGCAGACAATGAGAAATAGGGTTAGAAGGAAATAAAAAATCAGCTATAACAAAACAAAAAACTACCTAAAAACCATGTTTCAACTTACCTTTTCCTTGGGAGATGCTATATTATTACCAGGTAACATTTGATATTTCTGAAGTAGTTACTATGAAGTTATTCCAGCATTCCATCAAGGTATTCTATTTTCAACACATTGATGTGAAGCTACCTTATCATTTGCAACATCTTGATCAGAATTTTTTTTGGGTGGGATTTCAGCAATTTTAATAACATTTGAATGCCAAAAATAGAGTCTTGGCACATCCCCCCGACCAATTTTATTTTCAAATGTTCACACTATATATCAATATATATCAATATATGTGACTGTAATATACACACCATTGCAGGTGAATCCATCAGCATCTAATTCAAAGCCAGGATTGCAGCTGCATCCATAGGACCCGACATTGTTGATACAGTTCTGGGAGCATCGGTCAGTTTGTTGCACACATTCATCAATGTCTGGTGAAAAAAGAAGTATGGCAGAGATATTAGTAGTCAAATTATTTTTTAGTTGAAAAAGAAAAATTCATCATCTCAGTCCTAGGTCTAAGATTAAGAGAATACTTGATACTTTTCCATCTTTCTCAGCGAGTGTTGGATGTCCGCCATACTGCACAGCACTCGCTGTTAAGTTTTGCTTTTTTTGTTTTATGTTGATCATGTAATTCATAATTTTAGACAACATTCCATCCTCCCATAATGAGTATTAATTTTCATACCAATTACGGGAAATTTTTACTAGTTGGCAGCTCTGTTAAAAGTATAACCAGCTGGATACTAATCCTGAGAAAACTGGGGCTGGGTTTATGGAAAATCAGTGTTTTATCAAAGTCAAATCAAATCCAAAGGGTTAAAGTTTAACAGAAACTAACCTTGACACAGTGATCCTGGAGGTGCACCCATGTATCCTGTGTTACACGTGCATATGTAGCTGCCGACTGTGTTGTTACACATCGAGTTACTACCACAATCATTAGCAGTTACACATTCATTGATATCTGTAAGAGAAGATAAAGGGGTCCATGAAGCAAGGAATGGTTAACACAGAAGACTTCACATTTTTTTGCAAAATGTAAACAATGTAGGATTTCAGCAATTTAAAAAACATTTGCGTGCCAAAAATAGAGTCTGGGTCCAACCCGACCCCCCCCCCCCCCACCTACCCCTGACCAATTTTATTTTGAAATGTTCATGCTATATATCAATTATCTGTGATTGTGAAATACTTACCATTGCAGGTGAAACCATCAGCATCTAATTCATAGCCAGGCTTGCAGCTGCATCCGTAGGACCCTACATTGTTGATACAGTTCTGGGAGCATTGATCAGTCTGTTGCACACATTCATCAATGTCTGGTGAAAAAAGAAATATGGCACAGATATTATTAGTGAAAGTTTGTATTAGTTGAAAAAGAAAAATCCATCATTTTAGTCCTAGCTCTAAGATTAACAAGAAAGGAAAGAATAATATAACCATATAATATTTCATAATATCACAAAAAGATACAAATTCTGATCATATACATGATCATTACAAGATATAAGCATTTTTTAATAAAAAAATGCATGGCCCTACTGTCTTTTATAAATGTTAAGGAACACTGCATTTACAAACCTAGCAAAAACAGTTTGATACATGACAATCACGACTTTCAGGAATTTAAATAAATACCTAAATTTAGTGTTGGATATTCATTCTTCATAAAGTAGAATTCCTATACCCTTTTTGTTATCCAGAAACATAAAAGGGTATGACAGAGAGACAGAGAGAGAGAGAGAGAGAGAGAGAAGGCTGGGGTACACATCAAATACAAGACATTTTATCAGTTCAGATTCAAAACGATGTAAAAGCTCATTGTCAATATCAGCGAGTGCCAGGGAGCTGTACACCATGTTAGAATCCAAAGGGTTAAAGTTTAACAGAAACTTACCTTGACACAGTGAGCCTGGAGGTGCACCCATGTACCCCGTGTTACACGTGCATATGTAGCTGCCGACTGTGTTGTTACACATTGAGTTACTACCACAATCATTAGCAGTTACACATTCATTGATATCTGTAAGAGAAGATAAAGGGGTTTATGAAGCAAGGAATGGTTAACACAGAAGACTTCACATTTTTTAAAAAAATGTAAACAATGTGGGATTTCAGCAATTTTAAAAACATTTGAGTGCCAAAATTAGAGTCTGGGTCCGACACTCCCCCCCCCCCCCACCCCCTGACAAATTTCATTTTCAAATGTTCACGCTATATATCAATATTCTGTGATTGTGAAATACTTACCATTGCAGGTGAAACCATCAGCATCTAAGTCATAGCCAGAATTACAGCTGCATCCGTAGGACCCGACATTGTTAATACAGTTCTGGGAGCATTGATCAGTCTGTTGCACACATTCATCAATGTCTGGTGAAAAAAGAAATATTTTCTTTCTCTTTGCAAATCTAACTCAGAGTACATACTGCATATGAATGTATCAAACCCAACATTTAATTTTTCAAGAATTCATTCATGAAAGTTTAAGAACAGCTATCTGATTACTCCATTTTCAAGAAAATATTTTCAAATTTTCTGACTTTCTCTACAAACAAACTTCAAAATTTGCATTCCATATTTATTTTTGGAAAAAATAAATAAATAAATGCTCTTTTTAAAATTCTTATATGTTCTTATATTGTTACATTTAAAAACACAATATGTAAGGATAGAAACTAGAAAATAATAGAAGACAAAACATCACTTTGTGATGTCATAATAGAGTGGCTTAAAAGTTTAACCAGTTAGATACTAATCCTAATAAAACTGAGGCTGGGGTCTATTGAAAATCAGTGTTATATTAAAGTCAAATAAAATCTAAAGGGCATCTACACATTCATCGATATCTGTAAGAGAAGATAAAGGGGTTCATGAAGCAAGGAATGGTTAGCACAGAAGACTTCAGATTTTCTTTCTCTTTTCAAATCCTGCGTATGAATGTATCAAAACCAACATTGTTTTCAAGAATTCATTCATGAAAATTTGAGAGCAGCTATCTGATTACTCCATTTTCAAGAGAATATTTTCAAGTTTTCAACAAATTTTAAAACTTGCATTCTATATTTAATTTGGAAAAAAAATTGCTCTTTTTTCTTTTTCTGATTCTTATATATTTTAAAAGGCTATCACAGACCTGACAAGCTGATGTTCCTGAAGAGAAGAAATTATGAAAATGACTAGAATTACATAACAGAGGAAATGATATAGCAATACTTCACGACTGGTAATGTTCAAAACAACTACCAAAAAAAATACAACCAAATTAAAAAAAAGGTATTTCTTTATAAAGAATGCATAAATTGAATTTCTCATGAGGAAGAAAGGAATGCCATCTAAATATAGTTTTAGTTGATGTTATTCTACGAGGCTGAGTAATGAAAGGATGAGGTGAGATTGAAACCAACCTTGACACATTGGTGAAGTACCAGAGTAACCACTAGCACATGAGCAATTGTAGCTACCAGGTACGTTTATGCAGTCTTCGTTACTTTGACAGGTACTAACCATTTCGCATTCATCATTATCTGTAAAAGCAATTAGGAAAGCAAAGTAATGTTTCCATTGAATACCACATAACATAGATAACTAAATACACATTTTTTGAAATTTTAAAAATTGTGAATGAGGATAAATTATCTTCTTGAAAACTATGTATACATTACCTAGTCTGACTTCAATTAGCACTTTATGTTCCTGTACCAAATATTCCTATATTTTCTATTAGTTATATTACTATGTCACATAAATTTGGGTAAAGCGTTATCAAATTAAATCAAACTAAATCATGTAATGTAGTTACTTACCAGTGCAGGTTATTCCATCACCAGTATAGCCCATGTTACACACACAATTGAAGCTTCCAATGCTGTTTGTACAATTAGAGTCCATGCTACAGATGTTTGCTGAACACTCATCCAAGTCTATACACACACACACACAAGGAGAATAATATAGAATAATATTGTACAGCAACTGATCCCCTGATTCTTGCGATTGATTGCATTGGCCATCACCTACAATTAATCGCAAAAGTCGATCGTACAACAATCGCTAAGCTTTGTGGTACATGGCCCAGTTCGCAATTATATCTTGGTACAAATGACCTTGAACCTGCAGAGATGTTTTGAACATGTAGAGGTCTCTTCCAATAATGATCACTAGCAAAGTGAAGGAGGAGCTTCATTATTAAAGCAAACCCTCCCCATATTTTTTGAAAGAATGCCTTCACGTGTGTACAGTGGAATGTGACATGGTGCAGATACACATTACATAACTTCATTAGCACTTATCCAGTACTTTTCTCAACTGTTTTTAAATACCTAAATGCATATAAGTTAAACCAGAGTGTGTTAAGCACGTTTCTGTAAAGACCTTCAGTGATGTTTCTAGACAGGTTTCACTGTATATCATTTTACACAAACTTATATAAATTATTGTATGATCTGAGCAGACTTACCTGTACATGTGTCGTTGCTGTTATCAGTGAAGGTATATCCTTCAAAGCACTTACAGGAGAAGCTTCCAACAGTGTTGATGCACATTGACATGGTCGGACATATAGTGGTGTTAGCGCATTCATTAGTATCTGCAAACAGAAAGGCAAAAGTGTCATGGTGAAAGCTTCAACAAATATTGACAAAATATGTATAATAATAGTAGACTGGTAAGAAGAGGGAAGAGGAACAAAGAGAAGAAGAGGGAGAGGGGGAGAGAGAGAGAGAGGGAAATTATTATTTATTGTACATATCCCACTTCATCTAAAAATATATCTCTCTAACAGTTCTAGTATAAAGGTATGTCAAGGGCTACAAAGATCACGTCTGGTCTAAAAAAAAAGTTAAGTTTTATCATGGCTGAGATAAAAATGGGTGAAACTTACCAACATCAATTTCTGCCTGGACATAGACCCTGTTATCTGGATCAAGGATGTCATTGTAGGTTCCAGTGAGACCATTATCAAACACCATGGCTAGGTCATTCTCTGTTGCTGTGTTGGTGATAAGAATGTCCACACGAAATATAACCTCAGCGACCATGCCACCTTCTAGCAGTCTCATTGATTGAACAGAAACATCAAGGACATCAGGGAAAGTCGATGAAGCCATGAGAACAGCCATAGTCTGCAAAATAATGCAAAGAAAAAAGGAAATTGAAAATTAATTTTGTAGTGGGAACTTTAACCAATTCTACCTTGTACGGTAACTTAAAAGGAAATAAACAAGACACATTTAAATGATTATTCAGTCAATTAGCCCTTTTGGGTATGTGCAAAAACAGGAATTTCTGTAGAAGGTATCATTTTTAACAGCCCCATGAAAATGCAAACTTTTCTCTTACTCTGCTCCCCCTGCCTTTTCTATTTCAAAGACTGTAGAATGATATAATTAATATGGACTAATAGGGTCCAAAAATGGAACCCTGAGGTACTCTACATTGAATGGGTTTCAAAGAAGAGTTATACCAAACCAGTAGTATACAATTTACAAAATCTTCTGCAGCCCGCGAGGATATCCCTTATTTATACCAGGATACCTGAACATGTGCTAAAAGGATTCATGTCAAATTCAATCAGGAAATCACTAAAATTCTAAGAACCTAAGAAATTATAAACCTCATGGTTTCAGTAAAGTCTCATCAACTCACATCATTAGCAAGTCCTTGACGATTAGTTTCACTGGTCAATTCATCGTAATAGTACTCTACGACCAACCCTTGGATGTCCAGGAATTCTGCTATCAAAAACAGGGTGGTTGCCACTGAAAAAAGAATAAAAAGGATGTTGGACAAATTGATTATGAATACAAAATGAAGGGGAAATATGCATTTATTGAAAAGCATCAAACAGAAATGTACATCAGTAAACAAAGTGTAAGGATTCACACTACTGAAGGATTTACACAATTATGATAAATAAATAAATGATAATATGAATAATTTTTTTTCTTCAGTCACTGCTTATGATGATAGCACACAATATATTGTGACCAGAAAATGCATGTTCAATAAATAGATACATGTATTCAGCAAGTCAGTAGAACCATTCCTGATAATTCCAATCAGATGCCAATCAAAACAAGACGACCCCATACATTGCACATTCTTTGTTGTATCATGTTTTGTTTAATGGCAACAATGAAGGGAAAATGCATTGAAATCCCGCATTGGCATGATAATAGGCAATTTTTTTGCAGTTCTTAAAAAAAAAAAAATATCAATGTAGCCAATTGGAAGAGAAAGCTAAACAATCACACCCCGGCCGTCCTGAGAAATACTGCTAGAACTTACTTGTGCATTGATCACGAACTCGGTAGGTGCTGGACTGACAGGCGCACTCATATCCACCCTCTAGTTCAATGCAGATCTCAAATGCTCGAGAGTTGCACGGGCCGGGAGTCTGTGAGCACTCCAAGACATCTACAACAACAAAGTACATCAATTGTCACAAAGCTAGGCTATAATTACTCATCTACTACTACTACGATGAAAGCGATGAAAGGTGGTATGTCTACATATTATTTAAATAAATTGTGAGAAATGAAAATTAGAACATAATGGTGCCTAGCTATATCAAAGTGCCCCCTTGCTGTACTACATTTAATTTATTTTGCAGAGGTTGAAAAGCTGTCCACCCCCCCCCCCCAGGATGTGAACCCAGGTCCCTGGCTTAGAATGCTGATGCCTTAACCACTAGACCACAGTGGCTGGCAAAATGCCTTTTTAGATCTACATGTACATGTATTCGATGGCACATTTCTGCTATCAATCACTAGTAGAAGTCAAATTACTGACAATGTTGACAATAGATGGTTTACTTTCTTCACAGACTTTCTAGACAAAAAATATTACAACTTTTTAGAACTGAACATCACCTGAAAATTAAGATTATTTTTAGGGGGACTTTGAAATATAGTTATATTGAAAAACATTTATGGCGTTGAACCGTAGAATACAAACCTGTGCACGTTGTCCGGGTCACATGCATGTACCCAGCATTACAGACACAGGTGTAGCTTCCGTTGTTGTTCATGCACACTGAGTTTACATCACAAGCGTCTACTCCCAAAGCACACTCATCCACATCTACAAACAAATAATGATGAAGGGAATATATGTAGATGTAACATAGAATTATCCGGTTGTACACAGACACAAAAAGGTTTCAATATATGATGCTATCTGGTTAAAGCTCTATTTGACTTGAGATGTTTATCTTTCTTGAACGTACACCTATAGGCAGGGGCACATAAAACTGTGTCCTGGACATGCATATTAGAGCTGATTGCTGATTTACTAAATCATAATTTGATTTCACAGAGGCACTGTGCTGTACTGGAATATAGGCTAGGGAGTACGACATAAACAAACGATTGGACGAGTCAAACTAAAAAATTAGATGCATTGATATTGCCTAAATGAAGCCTCATTCAGCCAAAATGCTGTTTTATGTGCCACTTGGTTGATAACTGAACAACAAAATTGAGAATTCTTGAAATTTTCAAGTCCTGTTCTTTTCCTCCTACGTACAATTCTAATGAATGTAAACCTTGCACATTCAGAGTGACAGGTGTACATTACATGCATAGACTAAATTCAACCCTGATAAGTGAATTGAACTGTGTAGAAAGACCGAACCTCTACAACGAAGGCCACTTTCAATCTACCAGTCTGAGAGTACATACCGGCACACTGCCCTGCTGCAGCACGGCCTCCGGTCGCATCAAAATAGCCGTCTATACAGTAGCAGGTGTACGAGCCATCGGTGTCAGTGCAGTTGGAGTTAACGTCACAGTCAATGGTACCACGTTCACACTCATTGATATCTATGGATTGAGAGGAAATAGAAGAGTTGAAAATCCCTGTAATAACTCTTGTCTGATTCTCTTCCTTGATACTTCAAGCTCTCATACAACATCTTCATATCACCAGCATAATCACCTTCATCAAAATCATCATCACCTTTATTATCATCTTAAGCGTCATCCATAATACATCATGCTAAGCAACTTCCTGAAGATGCCCATGCATTCTTGACACAATTAATCATTATCAACATCATCATCACCATCAACATCATCATCCCCATCATCATCATCGCCATCATCATCATCCCAACATCATCATCCTGTTCATCAACATTACAGTTAGCATTATCATCACCATCAACATCACCATCAACATCATCATCCCCATCATCATCATCGCCATCATCATCATCCCAACATCATCATCCTGTTCATCAACATTACAGTTAGCATTATCATCACCATCAACATCATCATCCCCATCATCATCATCGCCATCATCATCATCGCCATCATCATCATCCCAACATCATCATCCTGTTCATCAACATTACAGGTAACATCATCATCACCATCAACATCACCAATCATCACCATTACCATCGCCATAACCATCAGCATCCTGACCAATCAAATTCTTCAACTTACTTGAGCAAGATGTTCCATTTCCCTCATATCCTGCATTGCAGGAGCAATTGTACGAGCCATCTGTGTTGGTGCAGGTGGCTTGAAGGTGGCAGATGGTTGAATCACCCAGGCACTCGTCAACATCCACACAGTCTTCTGTTCCATCACCACGGTAACCGTCAATACAGTCGCAGGTATATGAACCCTCTCGCTCTATGCAGACGCTGTTGGCTACGCAAATGTTGGGGTCATTACACTCCAAGATATCTATGTATGGTGGTGAGGAAAAGATGACATACATATTCAATTTGACTTTAAATCATCCAGTTTTACAAGTTTAAGAACTTGAGTGGAAAATGTCTCTGCCCTCTGCCATATATACAGTGTAAGTAAGAAAATATTAAGAATGATGCCAGTGCTATCTGCCACCACTGTACCTGGCACTATATTCCCTTCATCTTCCCAGACATCCCCTTAAAACCATTATATGAGTGCAACAGGCAGTACTTTTCATCCTTTGTCTACCTCTAAAGACATTTAGCTTGCAAAAATTAGAATATGTACAGCCTTGTTCACACAAACTAAAAGCCATTGTTTAATAAATGGCAAAGGAAGTGAAAATAAGATATTGAAACATGAAACACACAAAGCTTATGTTAATGTTTTTAGGGCATCATCATCAATGTGGATGAGAGTAATACAAACATGTCTGGTAAATGTATATTTTCGCAATAACTCTACAACAATGACAAGGTATTCTACTTCAAACTCACTCATCAAGGCGCTTTAATATAATTATTAAAGAACAATAATTATCCTAATAGCTGTGGATGAATAGGAGGTGTTTGATTCTTGTCTAGGAGTGTGATCTTACCTTGGCAGGTAAAACCGTTACCAGAGAAACCTGCAAGGCAGGTGCAAGTGAATGATCCGGGGGTGTTTGTACAGTTCCCGTTGACATCACATGGCATACCAATGCATTCATCCATATCTGTGAAAGCAAGAGAAAAGTAATCGTAACTGATTTTTATAAAGGCCTTACCAGTCAAAAGGTAACTGACCAAAGCGCTTACATAATCTAATTTTACTCAATTATTTTCTGCTACCATTTCATGAGCATAATGCTGTAACTGCTTATTGTCATTTCTATTTGTAACTTCATTATTTGTCAATTTGTAAAAATAAAAAGACAAATTTCTGAATAGACAATGTATAGTTAATAGTTTAGTTCGATTCCAATATATGAATGAGACTCCAGGCATAGAATTTATTGCTTACCTTTACAACCGCTGACTTGGTCACCAACATAACCAGGCGCACATGAGCAAACGAACGAGCCAACAGTGTCCGTACATACAGAATCCGCCACACAAGGCGACAAGTCACATTCATTATCATCTATAGGAAAGAAGAAACAAGTGGCAGAGAAAGACGAAGATGAAGATAGATGCGGCAGAGGACAGAAGCAAACAGAAAAAAAACCAAGGTACACATGCACAATGTATAAAGAATAGAGAGACAGGATAACAAGTATAAAGAACACAATATGTATTAAATTATGAATACAAATCATAATGCAGGCAAAAAACAAACTTCATAGATATTTCAGAGACCAAACCAACCTAAGATTCGTCTTCATCTCTTCTTCTCCACCCCCCCCCCCCCTCCCTCACTCCGATCCCAGATCTGCCTTGTGACTAAAAATCTTCTTAAAGGTCAATCCCCAGGGAGTGGAAAATGTGCATACATTGTGTTGTGGGTAAGCCTGAATCCGATGACCGGGGTAATAATATGTTCCGCGCCTAGAAACAAAGTATTAGGCGCATTATACATGTGAGCTATTATTATTATTATTATTATTATTAATGAAAAGGTTGGGATGCCAACAATTATCCTCATAGTCTGTATGCAAATTAGTTCAAATGCATTGAAACTAAGCAGCATGGCGGCTTGAACTTACTTGCACAGGTAATTCCATTTCCACTGTATCCTGCATTGCAGATACAGGTGAAGGTGCCAGGTAAGTCATTACAGACAGCGTCAGGTGAACAGTCATTTCCTGTCTCACATTCATTAATATCTGCAAGGAAATGAGAAAAATAATCATAATAATCATAATAATAAAAATAATGAGAATGATAATAATACTACTACTAATAATAATCACAATATTAATGCAAAACGTTTCTAAAGCGCTTATAAAAAATTAAACAATACAAAAACAAGAGATGGGATTGATAGAAGCGAGATAAACACAAAAGCATTAACATCCAATGATTCTCTAAACACAATCACAGCATACACTTTAATATATATCTTAACTTAACCATTATCTTATATATCTTAACTTAACCATTTTTAAATGGAGTGCTTATTAAGAGTCTATCCCACTGTAACTAAATGAGTCCAGACAAAAATGATGGACAGAAATAAATGAGAAATGTTTGACTCGACCCAGGGAGAATTTTTTTGTTTCTTACAGCCAGAAGGGTATCTTACAGCACAGAGTCAAAGCCCTCCTGCTGGCTATATTACCCTGCATTTATTTTCTTACTTGAGCATGTCCTTTCATCCGCTGCCAGCATATACCCCCTTGCACAGGAACAGGTGTATCCACCTTGTGTATTTGTACAGACACCAACTGACGTATCACAGTTATCCGTCATGGCAGCGCACTCATCAATATCTAAAGGAAATAAGATGGGACAGAAAAGAAAGATGAATTAGATGGTAATACCTGGGCATTCACCAAGAGATCTTTCATATTACCATTTGGACAATTAACCAGTTAGTGGGACAATGTGTTATACAGTCTCAGTGGGCACCTCTCCATAGAGGCTTTCTGTTTCTTTCTTCTTTTTTTTTCCTTTCTTTTATGGACAACTCATCGCACTCTGCCTGTCAGATGGAGGTTTTTTTTAGGCTTTTTTTCATTTTTCACGTTCAAAACCATTGAGAGATCTGCAGTGGAAATCCATCATTTGCTCTGGGCTTCATTTCATCAAAGATATAGGGTTAGGTTTAGATTTACAACTGGGTCTGAGGTTAGATTTAAAGCTTAGTTTTAGGGTTATGTAGAGTGGTGGACCAAGGCTTTGAAATAGGGAGTTAATTGATTACGAAGTGTCGTAAAACAACAGAAGTATGATTTAGTTACCTTGGCAGTTGGTAGCACTAGAGGGTTCGAAACCTCTTTGACAGGTACATGTGATGAGCCCGGCAGCATTCATACACGTCCCGCCCCCAGTACAGGGGTCTTCAGCAGGTGTACAGGCCATTCCAGCAGCAACTAGTATGGCAGAATACAAAATACAGGTGTTAGACAATTGTTACACAGAATGTCCAGGTTAATGATTAAAAAAAGATTGCTTTACTATCGATACATATAGGTTAGCATGATACTGTTGTACTTTACACAAAAATAGAATTTTTTTTTCAAATCTGTTTCCTCATCACGTTTTCTCATGCTAATAATCATGATAATAGAGAATAATTATCGAGTGCATAACTCACAGAGATCTTGATGTGATTTACATTTTCTTGCTAACAGGGTTGGATGCAATTGTTAAATCAATAGTAAAATCAAAATTAGTAGGAATAGTAGGCTTTCTAATAAGAGAAAAGGCCAAGCTGGTTTCAAATCACAAACAGCTTGCGGTTGATCACTACGAAGACTGGGCAATCAAGCCATTTTTGTATCGAAAGACCCACAATACCCGGTTGGGTCATTTCATATTTTTTTAAAGTCAGTTTAGAGTCAGTTTGGAGTCAGTCTGGAGTCACTTTGGTATTAGTTTGGATACAGTTTGGTATTGTGTCTAAGGCATACATGTAAGTACTTACTGTTGCAGGTGGCACCATCTGCATCCAATACAAAACCAGGATTACAGGAGCAGATGAAGGATCCCAATAGATTGATGCAATTCTGCATGCAATTATCAATCTGCTCTACACATTCGTCAATGTCTGGTGTGAGAAAGATCACAAAATCCCATTATTTAATCTTCAGATTTTAAGTATCTTTTCACTTTGGAAAACTACACTAGAATAGAATGTTAGATAGATGAAATGGATGAGATCTATTACTATAAACATATATATATTTATTTTATATTGATTGAAGTTATTAATGCATTGGAAACTAAAGTAAAGTGGAGGGATCAACTAAGAAACCTAACCTTGTACACTGTACATTACATGTAGTAGTATTTGGATTCACCTGTGCCTGGGAGGCAAAAAGCGAACTGAATCACTGTAACCCTCGGGTCTCTCCTCCCGGTATCATTGATTGGGGTGTGCAGGTGGACCACTACACCGGGGTTTCCCCTCTTATACATAATGCAGTGGGCTCTTCAGGTGCTAAGGTAGTGACTCTCCTCTACATGGGCCTCCATTTAACATCCTATCTGAGGGCCGGAGTGATTTCAACTTATTAAACATAGCCCGCGTCTATGAAGCAGGTGGGGCAGGTTAACACACAACGCAGGCTACAGTCATCTGCCTGGGTTGGATTTGAACCCACGATCTTTGGTTCGACAGGCAGACGCTTTAGCGACTGAGCCAACTCACCTGCTTAACTGCCTGAAAAATGGCTGCATGTAAAAAAAGGCCCCTGTCCCCCTAGGCATACTAACTTAATTCAGCTGTCATAAAACAAATTTTTTTAGAAGCACTATGCATTTTATGTTTAATACCAAGGTGTGTTTAATAATGCAGTTTGGCACTATATGTGTAAATGAGAGTAAGCAACCTACCAGTGCAAGCGAATCCATCTCCACTGAATCCGTCAAAGCAAGTACAAATGTACGATCCAGGGCTGTTAGTACATGTAGCAGTTGAAGCACAGAAATCAGGACCTGACATGCACTCGTCAACATCTGTCAATCAAAGAAGAATCCATAAATATAGAATTACAATTGTTTGCATGTGGCTGGGACAGCTTCTATTAGACATTGCCGACGTATAAGTACAGATATTTTGTTTTAAAAACAAGAGGAAAGTATTTCATAAATTAAGGATTTCAGACAAGCTAGATTGTTACCAACAATTCTAAGCTCGACTTGGAGACTGATGTATAAAGGCAATCTATAAACTGACTAAAAATCATTGATTTTATGCCCTGGATTGCTAATTCTCCAAGGAAAAAAAAATGGGAGGTAATAAATTGGTACCAAAATTCAAAATTTTTAAAAATTTCCTAATCACCATCTGTCCAAGGAAGCTTTTAATAATTGGGCCTTTCAGATTTCACTTATTGGGCCTTTGCGAAAGAGCACTCCTATATCATGATAATACTGATATATTCCATTTTTGTAAAGCACAAATAAATTTAGCCATTCTGCATTTCAAAAGTGGATATTTCAGCAAAACAAACCTGTGCAAGTGGTTCCATCCCCTTCATAGCCAGCATTACAGGCACACGAGAATGAACCAAGTGAGTTGCTGCAGAGAGCGTTCACATCGCAATTGTTTGATGAAGAATCGGCACATTCGTCAACATCTGAGCAAGAACATGAATATCAGAGATGTAGTTTACACAATTAATATCATTGTAAAGGAGCACAGTAGAAAGAATGTTTCACATATTACACTGTATTTAACAATAACATGATTTCTGGTGTTCCGATCATGATATAGTCAGTATTGGAATTCAGAATCAGAATACATCTGTTTTCGACTCTCCTTCCTTTATGAACAAATCAACTAGAGAATTATACAACAATGTACACAAGGTATTCAATAGTAATAATGATTATGGTCAGATTGATAAAGAAAATTAACTCTCGAGGATACAAAATGCTGAATATTAACCATGACATTCCCAAGTTCCTGGTTATAATTGACTCACCTACGCAGGTGTTACCGTCTCCTGTGTAACCTGTATCACAGCTGCACATGAAACTTCCTGGGACGTTTTGACAGGCAGCTTCCAAGCTACACTGGGATACTCCTTCCAAGCATTCATTACGATCAGTGCAGTTCAGACCAGAACCCTAAGATGGGGTGACATAAACCAAGGATAGGAGTTTATTTTGTACCACAGAGTTATAAAAATGAGAATGGATGAAGGAGAAGAAGGAGAAGTGCAAGAAGAACAAGAAGAAGATTGAGAGGCTGACGGCAGAAGCAGAAACAGTTGAAGATCAGAAAAGAATAAAGGAGGAAAAAAGAAAAAAGAAGACGAGTACATGTAAAATAAAAGTAGAAGAAAAAGATGAAGGAGATGATGACAATGATGAAAAGGGTGGAAAGCGATTACAAATAAAAGTATAAAAGAAAAGAAGAGCCTACCTCATATCCTTCCAAACAAAGGCACACATAGTATCCTTCCTTGTTCTCACAGGAAGCAAAATCAGAACAGTCATTTCGTTCAGGGTTGAAGCACTCATTGTCATCTGTACAAATAAAATAAAAAAGAGGATGATATTTTTCAGCTAATTTTAATCATGATCATAAAATGCCTCAAGGAGAATTTAATAAATGTAGTTGGCAGCACATTTATGAGAGGAACGCCCGGATCTACTTTATGGTACATTTTATATTTATTGCAAACTATTCAGACATTATGTAAACATATCTTAGTTACCAGTATGTTGAATTTTTTTGCCACAAAATTGATAAAACATGAAGCACATCTTGACTAATATACATAAAAAAAGTTATGTTGCTCACACAATCTCTTCAGTCCACTTACCTTTGCATTCTGCTCTGCCATCACCTAGGTAACCACTGCGACATGTGCAGGTGTATGAGCCAATCACATTGCCACAATCAGCGTTTACATCACATGGCGCTGAATCAGTGCACTCATCAACATCTATTGCAGAGCAAAGAGAACAAATATTGAACGGTGGTTACAAACTTAATTCCACTTTCATTGACAATTGTAAGGTGAAGCATCCAGGCAACGTGGTAAATCATTAGGTAAGAAGACTACACCGTCTGGCTGATGTAGTAGAATACGGACCTGTGTCTTTGACAACACAGCTGGAGCAATCGCCCAAGCAAATGTCAGATTGAAGGCACATAGAAGAAGTTACAGACTGAGTTAGTATTTTTAGAGGCATCACTTACCGGTACATGTTCTATTATCTGCTTGTATGACATATCCATCGTTGCATTCGCAGGTATAGGATCCATTGTTGTTAATGCAATTGGCATTCTCATCACAAATATCAGTGGCTCGGTCACATTCGTTAATATCTACAAAGAAAGAAAATAACTTAATATTAATTAATCTGTTGACTACTGAATTTTATAAGTCCCATAGGCTTAACACAGGGACCACCAGGTTCCCGTAAGAAAAGGGTTAACATCTGCTACTCTTCATCTAATAATAATAATAATAATAATAATAGCCTAATAGTCCACTCCAGATTTTATTAAACCGAAACGGAAATTCTTTTTGCCCAATTGATCGTGAGCCCGGCAGCCACTGAGCAGCGCCAGATCAACGTTGTCTAGATGTCTAATGTGTGCCTCGCAGGAAGCAAAGGCTGTGAGCACAGAAATCATAACTTAGCTAGATCCAGGGTAGTATTGGAGCATCTTGCATGGTGGATATGTATGTTATTATGGTGTTCAATATTTGTCATATCAAAGCTAATGTGCTTAGATTAGCAAGTGTGCACTTGTAAAAATATGCACTGGCTGGAATGCTCCCAAGGGAGTGGAGAATGTGCATACATTGTGTGCGGGTAAGCCTGAATCCGATGACCGGGGTAATAATATGATTGTTGGGCCCTCAGGTAGAACAGTATGAATACTGATGAGGCTACCCTGGGTAAACAAGACATATTATTATTATTATTATTATTATTATTATTATTATTATTATCATTATAATCATCAGAGACAAGATTACTGTTCTTCATGGAATTTTATTTATCTACTCACGGAGATTAAAAATAACCCTCAACACATTATAGCGTACCAAAGTGCTAACATCATATGCATATAAACCATATAAACATTTCTGTGTGCAGTGCATGTTACTTAATCACAGCAAGGCTGGGTCAATTTCTCATAGTTCTGATGATTCCATTACCTCACCATATTCACCAAATAAGTACATAATCAACCTTTCCAGATCGCTTTCAAACAGTTCCATCCTTCCCAGATGTAATTGTTTCACCAGAACTCAAACCTTAAATCTTTAAATTTCTTTGTTTCTTTGATACCTGACATCCAAGCTGCCATTCCTGTGTTATTCCCGAATATAACAAAAATACTCACCTTGACAGGCTTTGAGGTCAGGTTGTAAATCGTAGCCAATATTGCAGTCGCAACTAAATGAGCCGACGCTATTAATGCACAGCTGATCACATCCATCGACACTTTCGGCACACTCGTCCAAATCTAATACAAAATGTGGAGATACATTTTTTATTTTACTGCAATATTGTTGGTATACTCTATCCATGTTTATGTTAAATTTGAAAACTATATCTATAAGAACTCAACAAGCATGCATCCTTTGACTCACATAAAATCAAAGCACCTCCTACAAGGGTTTTTTTCACGACCCTGTCAGGTCACTAAGGCACACACAATTAAAATGACTTGTAAGATATGTTAAGCACTAATAACAAACTAAAGTCATTATTTGAACTGCTTAGCATTTTTTTTTAAAGTACTACCCAAACAGAATACTCATTGGGAACCCATTTCATTTTTTGTTATCACTTTTTTTATCTCCAAACATGTCATGCATTTGTGGGGTGTGTGCAATTGTACACAACCTATTGATTTGAAGGCTACATGATATCCAGTAAATGTAATTTCATGTTGATACAAAATCAAATATGAAACAATTTTTTCCAAACACATTCAACTCAAAACATGTACTCCTAGTGGGAAATATACACGTATACCCCTCATTAAATTTTATGTTATTATCAAATCCATTGAACTTATCATTTTGCTCCCATTCCAAGACGTTATATTTCTCAAAACCTGCACTGAGTGCACAAAGGCTTCTATTCATGAATAATGGTAATACTTTCCTACAAAAGTTCAACGGAATGACTTACCCCAGCACTGGAATCCAGTTCCTGTGAGGCTCGGGGGGCAGGCAGCACACGATGCGGAGATGCTGGGAGGGGGTTCATCGATACAGGTCACCCCAGGGTAACAGGGGTCGAGCTCACAGGAATCGAAGTCATCCTGACAGAATGAGCCAGCATAACCCATGGCGCAGGTGCATTGGGCAATCTGAAAGAAGAAGAAGAAAAGAGAAGAGTATGAATTAAGTTCATTCAAATATAGAAAAAGAGGAGGTAAACAAAGAATAAAAAGGGAAAGACATAGAATAATGAAATAAATTTTTAGAATTTCCAGAAAAAAAACTTTTGAGGTATTTCAACAAAGCATAACAGTATACTATTCAAAGGTGCACATTCAGCCTATCTGTCCGATTATAAAAGTTTATACAACACCTACGTGGATCCTTGTCATTTGATTGGAGGATTGTTGGTCACATGATATTCAATAGATGTTATATTGCACGGTCGTGCATTTTTGGTTATTTGCATTATGCATTTTTGGTTATATGCAGACTGCGTACCTCTCAGCCGTGCGCACGCGCATCCCTGCGTGTATCTGACGCAAAGGCAAACTGAAAGTTATCGAGAAGGCTTGATTCCAACTTTAATTTATCTTTAATATAAGGAGTAAAGCATAATTTGTTGATTAACGTTCTATTAGATCTTCTTCAATGTTGTATAAAACAAATAATGAATGTTTTTCATTCGTTCATTATTTGTATACTAATTAATATTCTTAAATAATTAATGCTAAACTTGACATTTAATTGAAATTTCATCTATTTTTATATACACCTGGGGGTGTTTCACAAAGATCCTAAGTTGAACTTATCTCTAAGTTGGACTTAAAAATTATGGAGGGCCATTAGCATCTCTGAAAATATTTTGTAAAAGTGATTTTAAAAGGCATAAAATGTTGAATCAAATCATTCATATTTTCTATTATCAAGGAGATTTCATGTTCTTGATGTGGAATTTATGAAAAGTCTAAAACACTATAATGTTTGCTTTTGAATATATTTCATTTTAAGGCTACAAATGGCTTTCCATAATTTTCAAGTCTAACTTAGAGATAAGTTCAACTTAAGATATTTGTGAAACACACCCCCCTGATTATCCATTACACAACATAAAATACACACCTAGGGTTTTAAAAAAAATAGCAAAAATGTCCTTACCGAAAATTTGTCATTGTTGAGACTGTAGCCTTCCATCATGGAATTGAAATCACAACTTCCACCGTTTTCACAATTACAGACAATGATTAAAAGCTGGAGATAACGAGAGACAGAGCCGTCACTGGCCTGAATTCCTATCAGAACCTGATCAACGTTTTCTGGTGTCCAGGTAAATATACCAGCTGTAAAGAGAGAAAGAGAGAGTAAGAGAGAGGGGGGGGGGGGTGGTAATTTAAAATATCAAATAATAAGCTATGCACATGATTTCCAACTTTTAAATTCTTCACAACAGCCTCCTTCACACATGTTAAACCAATGCAAAGTGCAAAGTGAAATGATAGAAGTTTTGTGCACTTAACCTTACTTTATCTTATCAAAAACCAATATCATTAGCATACCTCTCGAATCCCTGGCAAACTTCAAGTTTCAAGTTTATTGTTTCACATTTCACAAAACAGAATACCCATAAATGACAAAATTAGAACATAATATGAAATATACTCAAAGTATGACGTTATATAATCAAGTCTATGTAAGGACGTCAAAATTAATTATATTAAATGGTAGGTTATACAGGGTGAAATGTGAGGAACCTATTAAAAAGCTTAGCTTGTAGAAACTGGTTGTACAACACACGCTCTGGTATCAATTGCTCAGTGTGTAAGTCTGTAGACTAATTGAATTAATAGCTTCTGCATTCCACAAATCACAATACCCAACATTAACCTTAACCTGTAACATAACCTACACACCAATCGCAATCCAAGTCTAACCCTATCTTTGATAACATATATCCCGGAGCTAACGTTGCAGTAGCGATTGTCGGATTGTTAGGATACTTACAGGTAGAATCAATTTGGGCACTGGATGGGACGTTGCCGTCAAGAGAATACGTGATGACATCATTCGGGTTTCTATCCATAGCTGTAGCCTGGAATGTGTAGGATTGGTTAACAATAAGGTTGAACACGCCGTTCGCATTGATGCCTGGATACGTTGCATCGGGGTTAATCTCTGTCAAGTTGCTCAGAATAGGAGAGTAGTTTTCTGAAAGGTAAACATCATCAATGGATTGATAAGAGGATATGAGTCACTGATGGATTCATTCATGGTCAATCGATTTCATGATTGATTGATTGACTGACCAGTTACTGCTGGAATCAATTTCATATTATCTCCATGAACCTAAACATCACAATAAAAAAATAATCTTTAATATGTGGTACATTAATGACCTTTCTCACTGAATTTCCAGAATCACACGACTAGAACTGCATTCATACATCTCTGCCTGCTCCTGGGCCAGGTACACAAGATAAAACGAACTGGGAATCTATCATTTCATTACCTAGATCAATAACTTGCTGATCCCTGGACATGCCAATCATCATCGTGTTTGTACCAATGGAGACATCTTTGGTAGCCAAGGCATCAAACAGGCAGGAAGTATCCCCACTGCAGTCGACCATTGCTGCAGCCCTCAATGCTGGATCTGCTGTCATATTGAGTTCGCTAAGGAACATCGGTGTGAAACTAATCCCATTGAATGTATTCCAAACATTAGGACTCTGGTATGTGAACAACGAATCAGCACTATCGACGCGCCCTGTCACAAGAGAGTAAAAGAAACAATGGTTAGCTTGGGACTGATTAAGATCTATTTATGTAACCAGGATGAGGGAGCCTATAAACATATAATACTAATAATAATATTTAATTTGTATATAGCGCTTAAATCCACACTGTCGTACTTGTAGCTACTTGCTCCCTCTATATAGAAAACAATGCCTAATCGGTGACAATGATCCTCTTTTTCTTATGTTATTGAGAGTCGAGTTGATGAGATAACCACCTGTCCAGTGACCTTGCAGGGTAGTCTAATCCCTCCTATAAACAAGTACAGATAAGCTTTAATACAAATGTCTCTAAGCACTTTACAAATATACTATTACCCCGGTCATTGGATTCAGTGCTTGCCTGCACACAATGTACTGTTCCACTCTTGCTGCACTTGATACAAAATTGTTACTTGTATGCAAAAGAAGATTCATTTAATATAAATCTATGACTACTTACATGATTGTCCGTAGTTGAATAGGTCGTCTTCAGAGATACTTTCAGGATTTGGCAATATAGTACCGTTAGGGAACGTCACTTCGTTGTTTATATCGCCATCCCACACACCTGTCAAAAACAGCAATTGGTTAGTTTACTTCAAGCATCTCTTTGAAATATTAAAAAGCACTATAAACTACAAAAGCAGAGCCAAATTCCAAAAATATTCCCCCCCCCCCAAAAAAAAAAAAATTGGCAATGGTCCTTCCTCACGATTGAAGGAATATGAAATCATTTAACAAATATCAGTGTATATACAAGACATACGATATATGTTATACACACATTTTTTTCTTCATACCCAAGTCATAAGTTTTCTTCTACGAGAAGAGCGTGAACTCTAAACAAAGCCCTTGTCTTTTATACTTACTTATCATGTAAATATATCATATATACTGGATCTTCTTTAAGGGTAATAATAATAATAATAATATTTAATTTGTATATAGCGCTTTATACAAATGTCTCTGGCATTTAGCCATTTTAACACTTTCATTACAAAGCAGTTGCAGTCTCCTGAACACTGCTGCTATTATCAAGAAAGAAGCATATCTAGGGGACAGCTACACCTACCATACAAGCCTCTTGTTGATCCATCCTTGTAAACCTCCGGTGCCTGGAATATGAAGTCCAACATGCGGAGACTGATACCAACATTGACAGTCACGTCTTCACCGGATGTACTATCTCTAAAAGTGGCTACATATCGAGCTCCAGTCACAGAGTTGTAACGAAGGTTAAACATCGAATCAGAAGAGTTATATTCAGCTGGTGAAAGGGAAGAAGTAAGGACTTCAATATCAATTTCAGGATGAAAATGGCTATTATCTTCAGTTACATTGTTTAAAAGACACTTACCTGTACAGTAACTTAGTTTCATTGATTGAATTAAATCTTTTAGATAGAATTCTCAATGCGCTTTAAAAAAAAAAATTACAAACATGGTTTTAGGACAGAAATAACTTATATAATATTCTGCTCTTGCAAAAAGTTCATGCTCCTAAAAGTGATCCTTTGTTTCTGTTTGCAAGTGTGCACTTATTTGTGTATGTAATTACTTGTTGTAATAATATATCATAACTTCTACTCAGGTCTGTGTGCGTCATTCTCATGTAATGTTTTAAATTTATCCAATCAAATGTTTTTGTGAATTTCTACAAGGATATGATGCTATGCAACAACACTCCGGATGTTGACACAAACAAAATTGTAAAGCCTTTTCAAGACAGATTTGGGACAATCTAGAAGTTCTGGGTTTAAGTATATGATCTACTCACATGTCTGCAGGTCTGCAGGGTCGATGGAACTAGTGCCATTAATCAGGATGGTCATGTCAGTCCTCTCTGCATTCAGATCAAATTCAACCTGAGAGAGAAATCAAATAACCATGAGCAACATGTCAACCAAGAAGCTCTAGTGCCAAACACACTCTCCACCAACAAAATGTACCATGCAAACAAAACACCTAACAGTCTATACAGTTTCTTTTTTTCATCTACTCATTTGTATGAAAAATGGCTCACACCTCAACATCAAGATAACCCAGCTAAATCATTCAAAACTATTTAATTTAATATTACTTCTGGAGGAAATGTGATCACCATGATCGCAATCAAGCCTAGCTTTTTATTTCACATAGTGAACTTATTATGCTTTTGTGATCCATCCAGTGCCATTTTTTCTTGTTATTCACAACAAATCTTCTTCCCAGACATAATCACCAAGACCACAACTGGAAAGAACTTTAAAGGTGACTAATATATAGCCAAGGATCTTGAAACTTAGCCCCTTGACTATCAATAGTTTTGTTCTACATACCGTTGTAGCACCCTGTGAAACTACAAATGCTGTGAAGACAGTTCCAGTGTTCACTTCTGCCCCAGAATTGTCAAAGGCTTTCTCCGTCCGACCCTGGAGCTTGAAGCCAATAGAATCAATCATTATCAGCGTGTACTCTCCCAAGCCATTAAAGATATACTCAAACGTGTCCAGGGTAGTAATATGAGGATCACCTCGGCCCCAAGCTGCAAAAAACAAAGTTACAGAAATCATAACATCTGGGTTTAAAACAAAATACTGTAAAGGATAAACAACACCAACAACAACATTCTCTGGATCTGATAAAATACTTTAAAATATACATTACAAAAGGGCTTACAAATACAAAGACTTGAAGGGAAGGGTAGAAAAGAAAAAAATTAATTCTTAGGTGACATGAAGGATGTTCTTGAACAATTGTGAAGCAGCAACTGTAAAATGTTTAGTTTTTAGGTTATAATATGTAATAATCTTATTTGAGGATAGTCTCAAATTATTGAGGATGGTCAAGAACAGTAGATGATCTTAGTATACATACCTTGTGAAACTGCAACGTAACCATTGCAAGTCCTAGGTGGTCGTTTCTCCTCATACAAATTACAGAAGTAAGCATCTGATGACTGACTACAGCAGTAGTGACGTGGCAAGACATCGTCAACTACAGGGTAAACAGAAGAAATTAAAGGTCATTATAGAAGGGCTAATTAGTAATGTATTTTATCATTAAAGGACTTCAAACCAGAAAAAAAAACTAAATAAATAAATAAATAATAAATAATAAATAATAATAATAAATAATTGAAGTGAAGCCAGTCATCAAAGGAAAAAGGAAAACTGATTTCATAATGGCCTGATTTTTGTTTCTTTACTTAAGTAGAGAATTACATGTATGGTTACTAATAAAAGATGACAAGGTAGACACTAGATACTCTATACATTGTATATCAACGGTTTAACTCTATCCACTTAGCCAATGGATCAAATATGGATTTAATTTAGTATGCTTTGATTGATATTGCCAGCCGTTATATCTTAAATGGAACTCTAGGTGTATGATACAGTGCACATTAAGTCAATACCCTTTCTAATCACATTTGATAACATTTGACTCCGCACAGTAATCAATTCTCAACACATACATGTAAATGAATATATACATGTATGAAAATACTATATAAGTGTGCTTTAGATGTGCCAAGTATTGGGTTCACAGTTCCATTCACTTGCATTTACAAAACCATATTATACTACGGTTGTTACATGTACAAGATCGTAGAAAGGGAGGGCAGGGGCTTGAATACAAGTTGGGGTCAAGGGTTACTTACATATCCATTCTTGATAAAAAGAACTGAAGGGTGATCTACTAACGGTCAGTTTGTTCTGTAAGTGGCTACTTTCCCACATAGAATCATACCCCACTACCAAACTGTCACTGTGGTTGTAGATGCAGCGGGAGCCAGTAAAGTCAAACGAGGGGAAAACCTGCTGCAAGCACTGGTTACTATCCTCTAGGTAGCCTGTAAGGAGGAGCAAAGTTCATCTCATATCAAACAAATTTAAAGTCTGGGTGTATCAAGTTCATACTGGTAACCTAAAATTATCTGAGAAACATTGACATTTACATCAAATATAATGATATAAATGTTAAAACTGAGTTTTAAATAGATAAATAGATAGATGGATAAAAGTTTATTGATAAAGATACAAACATAGCAGCAAAGCCGATTTGCGATGTTTTTGCAATGACAATGTGCTTACAAAAATTATAGAGGCATCGACAATAATAACAAATATACAAATTATAATCATCAATGCTGGAGTTAATACAAAAAGGTTAATTAATTGACAAATACAGCATGCTACGTTTAGAATGTAGTGGATTTACTTACTTGGATAGGGGTCAACTGATGATGTGCCAAATGCGAATTGGTTGATGGGCACGTAGGGAGTGCAAGCTGTGAATCTGAAATCGCTTGCGGCTTGTTGGAGTGTACATGGACAGGGAAGGACACCTCGTGTACTTGGTGACAGAGTAGTGGCATCATCATACCAATCCTGACAGAACTCTGCAGGATTGACAAAATCGTCTGGATTCTGGTCCAACCGAAAGACAAACTGCCCTTTACGGGAAGACCCAACGCTTAGTATATTACCAGCTAGACCATCTGGCCGGAACATCGCGGCGCGGGAGTAGCTTTCTGATGTTTGCAGGTCGAAGAAGCTGGTTGAAGTTCGATATCCGATGACTGGGGTCACAGCAGCATTTAATTGGTCTGCGTCCCACAACATAGAATTTTCTTGGTAGAGCTGTACTACGTAAGTTTTAGAGCCATCTGTTGTCAGCACTGCCTGGAAGGTGTCAGTCTGATGAGGCACAAGTAAAGAATCAATATCCATTAACTCAATATTCTTATTCACACAAATTCTATTGTTGTTTTTTTTACTACATAAAAACTTATGAATCAACAGAAAGCATTTCATACCATTTGCTTACTTGATGCAGAAATATTGCACAACAAAACATACTATGGTACAAACCAGTATCTACATGTATCTTTCCTTTTGGAGCTAGAGCTCAATGAAAATAAAATTAATATGTGACATCATATACCAAGTCTGTTAAGGTAAACTTCATATACATACACATGCGCCACAGAACTATGACAATATGGACAAACACGCACTGTACATATATCTAGTATCATATTCTACCCCAATCTACGCTACAAGTTACAAAAAGAATTTCCAATTCAGTTCCTATTTAGATGTTAACACAATATCTAAAAATAGCATTGAGACAAGATATCTCTGGGAATTTTACACAGACCCTATGACTTTTAATCATTGACCTCTTAAACTTAAAATTATATCACCTCATATTTGTTGTAATTACGATGGTTCTCAAGTTATCATGGTCACAAAAGGTGGGACAGATGAATGGACAGATTATCAAATAGACAGACAAAAAGAAAGCACAACACTTTTGGCACCATGAGTTTGAGAAAAGAAATACGATATGTACTAACCTCAGTAGTAAACTCTTCCGTGCCAAAACGCCTGAGGTCAACCCAGGTGATGACCATGGCCCATTTAGGTTCATAAAGAGACATTGGGGTATTCCCTAAAAGAACAGCATTGTTGACCTGAATGGACACATTGGCAAGAAGCTCTGTTGTAAACTCATCTGTAGCTGTACTCTCGTAGACCTGTGAATAAATGTCACAACAATTGGATTAGCATTAATTAGCATGTGTGTGCTTGTTAACACGGTGCCCAGCAGGAATGCTCAACACAATGGAGTAGAGAATGTGCACTGTGTGTGCCAATAGCAAAAGAATTCAATGAACAGGGTTATAATTTGTATTTCTATTAATTTTACTTTGTCCACTGTCTAACATTAAATTGGTATATCATCCAGAAATCTATGCTTATGTTTTTGCAATATATTTTCTACCTCTACCTCTACCTCTATATAGAGCATTCATCTTATATGCATATAATACAGATAAAAGAAAATCATGTTTTAGGTAACCTACATGGTAATACACGGTGGAGTCTGAGCTGATCGCACGTCGAGCTGAGCTGGTTGAAGTTCGAGCTTCACTGCCGAAAACAGACACAGCCGGCATGGTAGAACTGTTGGCGGTGAAGGCAGATGGATGGGAGAACTCACTCAAGTCCACACTGGGGTCGTTATTAAAAGCAATCACACCACTATTGGTAATCTGTTGGAAATAATATAACAAACATGATCAAAGTCAAACTACTGTAAGGCAAACTGCATTTCAAGCCTGATACAATCTCCAAGCTTGGGCTCCAAGCATGAAAGCAAATGGTTGAATGCTAACTAAATGAATTACCAGTTACTAAAAGCAACTGGTCATAAATACATTCCACTCTGATAAGCATTTAATCAAGGCTTGCAATACCAATGGTTGCTGTGTAACACGGTTGAATCCCGAGGCTCTTTCAGATGTGAATCGTTAAACCACTTTATTAAAGTGTAAATGAATAACAACTGCGTGCAACAAAGGTCCTGTGCATACTCACTGAGCTCTACATTATCAGATACAGAAATGTGAGGTGTAGTACAATCTACGTCTTCACAAAAATACCGCCGCAATTTTGCGCATTATATCTGAACAAGGCTTTAGTCTGTAACCTTAAGTTGTCTAAACTTAAGAGCCATCTAACTTTTGTTGGCTAACAGGTTTACAAAACAAACTGACAGCACAATAAAATATAACCCAATGCAAATGGCCCCTGGCCGGAATACTTCCCATAGAGCGAAGAGTGTGCCCTATCATGTGTGGAATACCACTTGAATCCATTGACTGGGGGTAATAGTAATTACAAAATAAAGAGCTTAGAAACGTAGCATTAAGGAATATACATGTGACTATAATATAACTATTATCATAATGAAAATGTTGTTGAAATCATGGTTTACTGCCCTTCTAAAAACATACGTAAATAACATATTAAACTAAAATGATTGAATTTCAATGTCACATCATGCATTAGAAGGCTTGCATAATAAAGTGCAGGGGGAGGTTTCACAAAGATCCTAAGTTTAACTTATCTCTAAGTTGGACTTAAAAATTATGGAAAGCCATTAGCATCTTTGAAAATATTTTGTAAAAGTTATTTTGAAAGGCATTAATTGTTTATTCAAACCATTCATATTTTCTATCATCAAGGAGATTTCATGTTCTGGATGTGGAATTTATAAAAAGTCTTAAATACTTGAATTTCTGCCTTTGAATATATTTCATTTTAAGACTCCAATAGCTGTCCATAATTTTTAAGTCCAACTTAGAGTTAAGTTCTACTTAGGATCTTTGTGAAACAACCCCCCCCCCCCATGTACTCACATATATGTATTGGAAGAGCTGTTCACCAATAGGAAGTAACTGCATACGCGCAATTGGTCCAGATACAGTGTAGCCATCAATATTGGCAACTCCTGGAGTAGCATCAAATGTAGTATCACCAGCAGCTGTACCATAGCTATAGTAGACTTGTTCTGTTTCAATGGACGATGTGAAGAGGGGACAAGAAAGAGACATCTTATTAAGAAGAGAATAGATTTTGGGGGGAAAATATGCACAAAAACTAAGTACATCAAAATGTTGGGAACTGGGCATCATTTTATGAAAAAGTCTTTTCAGGTTTGCTAACATAGCATTGATACGCATGTATCAAAATTAACATACATGTACATTTCAATGGGAAGTTGGAGAACTTGTAATTACGTGAAACAAGGTTCTCATAGTGACAGTATAATAGCCTAAAATTAAGTATCAAAGTAGTATTAAATGTTGAATGTCTCGAAGAACACACTCTCTTTAAGAATACTTCATTCCAGCTTTTGCCAAGTATCATAGATTTTCCTGCTGCTAATATTTTCATTTATTTTGTTTTTATTTTTACTATGTACTGTCATTTGCATCCACCCTTCTTCTACATAATGCATTTCAAATCTGCCTTTTCTTCTTTGAAGTTCCATTACCGTTTCTATGTTTGAATGTATATATCATATTTGACAAGTTCCAACTTACCTATGCATGTAAAACCATCTCCAAGAAACCCATTATTACATTCACATGTATAAGATCCAGGTGTGTTTATGCATGTTGCATTTTGATGGCAGTCTGATGGACACTCGTCGATGTCTGAAAATCAAGAGAGATTCCAAGAATTTCTAAGACCTGCAGTTCAAGCATTTATTGTAGCATTTTTTGTTTTACATGGAAATTTTGCATTTAATGGCAAAGCATATGTCGCTACTTGTATCACATCATACATCTAGCCTTTAATAATCCACTAAAGAATTTTTCCATTATCTTTACCTTTATCTTACTTATACTATATCATATTCGTTAGAAGTATAATGTTTCAGCTCCTGCCATATACAGGGCTAATGGGTAAAAACATACTTATAATGAAGAAAATTTAACAAATAAATTAAAAAATATATAAATAACATATAACAGATAAAAGAATACATATTTACAGTTGATCTTTAAATTAAGTACTTTATATATAACAAATGCAAGTAGATACAAGGTATACAATATCATACTTCAAATATATTATGCAATAATGACCACAAGGTAACGTTTAAAGTTAGAGAATGGTATGAAAATAATTATATATAATTAGAATAAAATACCATTCTTGGACTTTTCTCCAGATACATGACTGGGATATAATCCTGCTACTGTAATTGATTTCATTCACAAAACTGTCTGGACTTATTTCATCTTTGAAAGTGCTTGGTTTGTTTCAGAAGCATTAATATCAAAATATAACACTTCATTTCCCATAATCAGCACCAATGGTTTTGAAGTTTTTTTATAAACACAAAGGTACTCATAAATGTAGCTTTATCATTATTGCTACGGCATAATGGTCATCCCTGCCAAATTTCAAGATGTTTGAAAACTTTTCAAAAAGAGATGCATTCCCTTTGTCTCAGATTCTGAAATAAAATTCTGGATTTAGCTCATGATGCAATGATAATTATAAACCTTTAGGTCAGTCAGGAACCCCATGACTTTTACAAGCCGATCGCCTGTCTGATCATCAAGATATTTATGATTGGAATTACAAATTTTGAAAACCGTTCGCCTGATGGTTTTCATAACACTACAGTCTATTGGGGAAAACGAGTAGGTAAAACCGGTCACTCAAAGATTTTTTACTTTTTTGAGGCACTTCTTGATCATTTTGAAGTGCAATTTTTTTAGTGCTTCAATATTACACTATATCACAGACACTGATAACACGTAGGGCCGTGTATCTCAGATTTAACATTGTTAAACGATCCCTTTAAGAGACAACAGCCAATGATAACATGCTTTACTTCAATCAATGGATGACCCACTCAGACTGACCTTCGCAAGTTATTCCATCGCCCGTGTAACCTGAGTCACAAATACATGTGAAGCTACCGAGCGGCATGTTGAAACAAGAGGCCAGAGAGTCACATGGGGTAGGAGTCATAAGACACTCATTCGTTTCTGTATTGGAAACAAACAAAAAAAGTTAAAGAGTTAACCCATTGGCTACTGGAACCTGGTTGTCCCTGTGTTAACTCTATGTAAATGAGATAATTCAGTAGTCAACAGGTTAATAAAATACTTACCTCTTAGCACAGATACCCAACAAAGCGATGTCCAATGTAGAATCAACACATTTAATTACAAATCTGATAAAAAGATGCAGGTGGTCAAAAACTAGATATTTCTTAAATTGGTACCAGCATTGTATCAGGTGGTTTTTCAGAACTTCCAGATACCTTCTATTTTCTTCTTGGTAATTCCAGTGTGGAATTAACACATTTAATTACCAACACTCTACAAAGCTGCAGGAGGTTAAAAGTCAAGTTGTTCTTAAATTGGTACCAGCAATGGAAGAGTACTATCAGATGGTTTTTAATTATTACCAAGAAACAAAAATTAATTAATAAAATAATGATGTACACATAGCAGTAGATTTGGTGAGATACCTAGTTGCATAACGTTTAAGGTTGAAATAAGGGGCAGACTCTCTATTCTGAATTTCTGATAGCCTGCATGTCCCTCCCACAGCCAGCATGATTCTATGGAGTTTTCATACATTTGATGTATTTTTTTTGGAGGGGGGGGGGGGGGAGGGGGCGGCTGAATCAAACACATTTCAAGAAAAACAAAATCATCTTATTTATCAAATGCAAATTGAATATAAATTCATCTTTGAATTTCAATTGGGTTTTGGAATGTTCATACTTCATGAAATTTATTAGAGCAATCTATTATGTAGGCCTTTACACTCCTTGACAATTTCATAGCATTAAAAAAAACAGAGGGATATCAATGCTTTTAGCCAGACTACATTTAACATTACACACACACACAAACGGGTGTACATAACCAATTGACAAGTTTCATAGTTTCATCAAGGGGCGACTGAAACTTTCTTGTTTCTATAGAGAAACAGATTGATGAAATGAAATCACACTCATTATACAGTATGGATAGCATGTTCTGAGAGGTTCTTCAAACATAAAAAAGATTCTACCCAGACTTTGGAATACATTTAAGACATTTTGTGTAATGGAATAAATGAAAGATTTGTTCGCCATTGCATGTAAAACATACACATGACCACTCCAGCCAGTTTGAAACTCTCATACTAGTCATAAATCATGTATAGTGATAACATATCATTCACAAAATACACAACTATCTCAATGTTTGTCCAATTTGGTTCAAACTAGCCACATGCTTCTCTGATTGTTCTGCTTTCTCCTCAGCCCTCGAGGTAAAAACTAAACAGCCTCAGCTACACGACACTCACCTTTACACTGGGGATGTGCTGGGAGAAACAGACTGTCACTGCATGTAATATCTTCATTTGCAAGCTCCAACTCGTATCCAGACTCACAGTCGCAGTTTGGGTTTGAGCCATGTGTATACACATTGGAACTACAGGTCAATGCATTGCGATCAAGATCTATGTGACAGTTTCCTGTTTCAAAGTAATTTAAATTTTAAAAAATAACAGACAATACTGATGCAGTTTCAATCCCACACCCCTCCCCCCCCCCCCCAAAAAAAAGAAAAAGACAAAAGACTGGAATAATATTTGCCAATCTAGAAATCATGCATAGCAGTATACAGATCTGTAGGATTTGATTGGTTCAGGGCTTTACAAATTACTTATTTCCCAATGCTTTGCAGCACTGTCAAAAACTCAGAACACCATACATTGTTTTCTCTCATCCAAATATATTGTTGCTTGTTTGTACTTGATGTAATTTCACTTGTACCTCACTATATCTTATGTGATTTTCTTGAACACTCTTTGTATCTTGTGAAAAATTGTGGCAAGTATAAAAAGCATTAATAAAATTATTTATTACTCAACAGAATCCATGAGATTAGTTTGGGGTTAGCATTTCTTGTAATGTAAAATTTACATTTGCATATACACCCCATGTATATTCTTTGGAATTTCTACACAAATCTTGAACTTGAATTACAGAAGTTATGAAAAAGTTCTTGAACACACTGTAATATTTTGAGCATTTGGCAGCTTGTTTTGAAAGTGGAGTCTGCCTTTGTAGAGAAAGAAAGTTTACACAGAACACTTACGTGAGCATATTGGACCAGCAGAGAATGACCCATCGAGGCATGTGATACTGGAATCGCCAGTAATTACGCTGCCGAGAATGCAGTCCAAAACCAGGACTGTCCCATTCAGGTACAGAGATTGAGAAGGAGTGCCTGTTGCTAAGACAACACGGTCATCGAGGGTGGGGAAGTCACAGGCGCCTGTTAATGTGAGGTGATATGGAAGATTAGATCAAACTACATGTATATGAAACAAAAAACAAAAAACAAAAAACTAAAAAGAAATGAAAAAAAGTGAACAATCAATTACTTCTAATTATATGCAAGCAAAATCACAGTAATTACATAATTAACTAATCAAATGTATGTTCATCTGTATATACCATCATTCTTCCTCCAATTGGATTATTAAAAACCATCATCATTTCTAAATCTTTTTCATTGTGTTTTTATAACACAGAGACCTATGTTGCATGTTAAATTGAACTATGTGACATGTAATGTCATGAAAATCCATTGGAAATCAATTTGTGTAATCCAATCAATATGAGAATGTTTGCATTGACTTTTCTATGTTTCTTTACACTAATAAAGAAGCAAGAGCTCAAATAATTGTGATAAGTTCAAACCTAGATCTAGATCATATATTGTTTAAACAAATAATATGTGGGGTTTTCAACCTCTCAAAATCCTTATTAGAAAGAAAAAACTTATCTAAATTATCTATATTTTAACTTTAAATTATAAAATCTAATTATAGATCTAGGCTTACTAATTGAAGTTGAACAAACACTGATCAGATCTGGATCTATTCCTTGGAAACATGCTCAAATCCAACAATAATCGTGAATTTAAAAAAAAAATCAAACACATGCAATAATAAAAATCCAATATGATAAAGGTAAAAATAAAATGCATGCAAAAACCAAGGATGAGGAATGGAACAACTTTATACCAATGCATAATGTAGAACGATCCTCATCTTCTCCATCAGAGCAATCGACGTTGCCATTGCAAGTGAGTGTCTCATTAATACAAGTGTCATCATTGCATTGAAAACATCCAACACCACAAACTGAAAACAAGATGAAAATTAACAAATAATAATAATAAATGAATGCATGCATGTTTAGACCTAGAAAATTTACAATGAAAAACAGTAACACAGTCAGGGAGGGACCCAAGATCACAGTTTAGAACCTGTGAACATTAATAACACAAAAGGAAACGCTTGGGACCGAAGCCGTAGATAATGTACAACAACAAGTACCGGTATAAACACAATTGACAATTATGCATGGACCTACATATCTATTCCTAAAGTAAAGATTTAACATACGCTATAGTAGACAGTCTACGCCATTTCGATCACTGCTTCTCTAGCTGTTACAGCATAGCATTATTAAGGATTTAAGCAATTAAAAATATACGAAGCCGAGCGTGTTTCGTCTGCTGTATTACTAGTACTAACCTCGTTCAAGGCTTATTACTTTGTTTTATGTTTCGAAGAAAAGAATAATTTATTATGCGCGTGATCGGTTGAAACTTTCAACGAATGATGATCATCGAAGCACCCCCTCCCCAGGCACGTAGCCACGGGGGGGGGGGGGGAACACATGCCCCCCAAAATGTCCAAGATCGGTTGAACTTTTTTAGACCCCTCCCCAGGAAGCCGATCGGTTACATGTATGTGCCATCCCCCTCCCCCCAAACATCAAACTCTGGCTATGTGCCTGCCCCTCCCCTCCCTCAATTGCCGGCACAGTATAGAATGAACATGACAAAAAGTGATAATCACAATTAATATATAAACATGCAATGTGCAGGAGGCTGATCATGACTGGGACAGTCAGTGAATGATGTATCAACAAAAAACATAATTTACCCCATGCAAATAGAAGAGCATAAATAAAGAATGACATCGTTTGTTAGGCCTAAAAAAAGATGTATTGCCCTTTGCGACTGACCTCAAAATCTTGAAATCTACGGTCGGATTTTTAATTTTTAATTTTTTTTTACCGTTTTTTAGAAGAAAAAATGTATTGAAAACTGAAAAATATATGCCCAAAGAGGGAATACAAATTTTTTTTAGGGTAAAAAATTAAAAAAAATATTTTCGACCGACCGACCCATTTTGGCACCTACAGGGCAATACAACATATATATTTTTTGTTAGGCCTTATGATAAATGTTCTTCTAGGCCTACAACCCCCCCCCCCCCCCCCCCAAAAAAAAAAGCCCACCCTTCCATAATACAACATGATACCACCACCATCACCATTATCAGACCCATCATCTCATGTAAATTCATGCTAATTCCGTTCTAGCCCATGCAATCGACTTACCGATCGGTGTTGGACCTGTTCCAGATCCCGGCTCACTGGTTTGGGCCTCTCTTGCAACTATAAAGATATAAAAAGGTGACATAACTCACAAGATCAAGTATTAAAACCTGTTGTTTTATCGTTTTTACATTACGGCCTACTGTATATGGTCTTATATACAGCTTCTGAAAAGTCACCCAATTCCTCTTCTGAATTTAGTATGCTCATCATTCACTCTCAAAATACTTGCACTGCAAACATTGTACAAGAGTCTACGCTATAATATAGGTCGCGTTCTGTTCGTTTTGTGTTGGTATTGGTATCGACATATAAAAAGTGCTTTCTACTATATGTAATCATATATAGAATAAAATAAGGGGTAGTCAAATTAAAGAACTAGATAGATATCAGTGTTACATAATATACTTACATCTCAGCCTCGCGTTTGGTTCCTCAAACCAGCCTGGAAAAGGGTAATATAAAGATACATTATTAGATTAATTGTTTTTACCTACATATTTTTAAGATGGGGAATGGTAACAAAATACTGCTTCTCTTCTGTCATTTTTGTTTTGTTTAAAGTTGTTGTGGAATTATCCTTTACATACAAATTTATCCTACAAAATAATGTTTACTCATGCGTCCATTCCTCCCATCCCCTATGATTTCGGTAATGTTTCAGACCTCACAGTCCACACCCCCCCCCCCCTCCCCCCCCCCCCCCCCTTCAAACGTAAAAAAATTCAGGTCCCGCTCTTTGCTTAGCCACTTCTGAATGGCTACAGGCCAGGCCTGTGTCATATTTTGGCAAGATGTATCATACCAGAATAGACTATCATAGATCTTGTTAAAGGCTAAACTATGCAGGTGCTCAAGGATGGAATGGTGGTCTCTTTATGACTTGCTTTAGAATAAAACAGTAATCACTACACTGATGCTACACTGCATAAATTAATGCAAGCCACATCAGACGCTGATATTTATTCGTATGTATGTACAGCAGCGTTAGCGCTGACGGTGTATATCTAATAAGAACTGCTTGATGTTTTCTGCGAATTCTATTGACATTATAGACCTTAGTTTCGACCCATATTTGTGGGCGAACGTCTTTCACTGGCAATTTCTTGTTTGTTTTCTAGTGTTGACATAATAAGTGCCTAACAAGGCGGGCCGTATAGGCTATAAGGAAGCCGCTAGAAAAATGTCATGGATTCCGCGGCATTCATTTAAATATGCAGTGCCTTTGGAAGTATTCTGGACCAGAAATAGATCCAGCTTATTGCCCAGACTCCTATTTGCACATTTCTGAAAACCCACCTTCTGGCTAACAAATTGTGTTTGATTTGATATTGACTATTTCAGTGGTCACTGACGCATTAGTTACCGCCCCCCCCCCCTCTTTCCCCCATGACTTGCGAAAAAAGAGGCAAACGAGAGACACCGCGAGAGAACATGATATTAACTCGGAAGATGCAACCCATCCATGTCCCTGGATTTATAGCCTAGCCTTATTGTTGTATCGCATTTCATTAGATTACCAAATCTTTTCGATGTCCCCCTCCCCCCCCCCCCCCCTGATCCCGTGCTACACCACTGATTCACTTTGAATTTATTTGTCTAGCTCAAATATACATTGAATCAAAATAGAGTGGTACAAAGGACAAGGAGAAAGAACTCGACAGGAGCTTGAGAGATTATTTACAATGAGGTCCTTTTTAGAGTATCAGTATTGAACATGTTAAATATTTGCATTATTTCCATATGTTTAATATTTACCGGGATATTTAATAACATTGTGGATATCTGTTGAAACAAAGGAATTCTCAAGAACATTCAAAAATTAAAACAATAAAACATCAAATCTATATCGCAGAGAAAGAGAAAACTAGTCTATACAGTATATGCAAGCCATATCGCATCACTTGCTTCTATTCTCTGAGTCCAAGGTGACAATATTAAGTATCCCTTAAGTTCTCTTTTGAAATGAGCTAAATTGATCGTTTTAAAATAAACCATTTGTAATAGAGTTTATATCTCACCGCCGTAGCAATCATCTTCGTCGGATCCATCGTAGCAATCAACATTATGATCACAGACTTTCATGGCTTCGATTTCTTGGCCGTCGTCGCACTGAAAAATTGCGGCGGGATACTTCTCTTCCATATTATCTGAATGTAAAAAAAAGTTATAATACAGTTGAGGGTTTTTTAAAGATTGCAGAAAAGGATAATGATGATCATCATCATCATAATAATATTAAAGATAATAATAATAATAATAATAACAATGATAGAAATGATAATAATTATAGTAATATATATATAACAATAATAATAAGAAGAAGTAGAAGAAATATACAAAAAATAAATGTATTGGATGCTTTGATAGCGTGACATAAACGTTACATAGAAAATACAAAACTTTTGAATAGAGCCTAAGAACGTTCGGTCATATTTGGGCAGTTTATATACAATTTTAATACCATAATCCAATTTATCTCATTAAAATGCTATTATATCAACAAAGAATGAATTACTCATTGCAGGTGTCACCCCTTGTGACCATGACTTCACATCATCAGCGTGGAAGAGGGTAAGAGACGCTGGTGTTGATTGGACGGTTGTAGACATGATTGTGGTCATGGAAAGTGTCCCCCTCTCTGCTAGGTTGGATAATGATGAGGGTGTGGTAACCAGTACAGTATCTGGAGCTTCGGTGGTGGGAATTTTCCGGTTACCTTTGTATGGGGAAAAGTGACGTACAGCGAAATTCATATATATATATATATATATATATATTGTAATCGTTTTGAATTGACAATGAAGTTAGCGTATAGGCCTACCTACCTTATGGAAAAAGAAAAAACAACCAAAAAAAAAAAAAAAAACGAACGAAACAGGCATGACAGGTGTAGATTTTTGGACTAAGAATATAGTTTACCATTTACGAAGCTTGATTGAAATATCTTAACAGTTTAGTTAATGGGTGGTAGATTTGTTACAATGTAGTTGCGGATCTTTCCAACGCACAAATGACTTTGAGACTAATCTGAAGCAGTGGCATTTATTCTTTTTTCATATTAAGTGACACATTGCTTGGAGTTAAGGACACGGTTTAGTGAATAATTATTGTGACCACCCCCCCCCCTCCTCCCTTTGTAGCATCACTGATTTACAGAACACTATCATCATCATACACATTCGAACCGTCAACATAAAAATGCCTTTGTCTTCGTTACTTGGATCGTGCATGTGAAATATATTGAACTATGCAATAATTATAACGTACTTTATTTAATACTACCTCGTCAAGTTTTATTCTACTGAATGGGGTTAGCCAAAACTACACTATCCGCATAGGGATCAATAATACCTGTGCAGTCATCTTCGTCTGAGAAATCTCCACAATCATCCTTCTTGTCACATACGGAGCTGATAAAGATGTAGTTACCGTTCTCACAAAGCCAAAACTCTGGAAGAGTGCCCTTTGCATCTGGAAAATTAACAAAATGATTATGTTCAATTGAATATTACTGCATAGTGCTGCATAGAAACATGTGTTGCATGTTCTCCAAGTTTATTCTGTGAATTGCATACCAAAAAATGAATTGTAATTATCATACGCTATACAAATTTAAACGTAATTATCATCGGTATAAGTTTAGTCATGTTATTTATTTTTGTACCCACGTACCTGGCATTTCTTGAACAATCATATTCTGTTCCCTATCCGGGAGGTCTGCCGGTGTTCGAGGAGTCGCCCATGCCATTCCTGGCTTGGTCTTGTTTGCTTTGGTAATAGGAAGTTTGCCATGCGCTAGGGAGAGCAAGGTAATGTAAGAACAATTTGAAAAATAGATTAGCATTCATACAAAAACGGAAAGCCCATGTATTGGTTAATAGAACTTGGTACTTCTATGAAAATATGATTTTTTAATTGTACATAATTCTTTATGAAAAGCTAAACGAGAATTGGTATTATACTGTCTATTTTGTATGTCATACGAGAGGTCACTGGTTCAATCCAGGGTCAGTGATTATACCCTTGGACAAGGTGTTTTGGTCATATTTGTCACTCTCGACCCAGATTTATTTAATAAAGGGGAGCCCGATAACGCTGGAGTATCACAGGGCCCTTAGGAAGGGATGTATTAATACTGAGGTTGTTTCACCGGGTAAATAAGGCCATTTTGTTTACTTACAATCACATTCGTCTTCGTCAGAGAAATCGAGACAGTCCCACTTCTTATCGCACACAGCTCTCATCGGAACGACAGCGCTACCATCCAGACATTGGAAAAACTCCATCACCTCATCGTCCTCTGAGGGGGCATATCGATAAAAACGTGAACAGAATTCAAGAGAGGGGGTGGTGGGTAGGGTAAGGAGATAGAGAGGGAACGAGTGAATACCAAGTATTCGATGTGATTATTGATATGGCTTTGTTTGCTAGTTAAACATTGTACAAATTTGGTAACATTTATTTGTTTGTTTTGTGTCTTTTTCCTTCCCACTTTTTTTACAATAGCCACATTAATCTATTGAATTCCTTCAATTCTTTATTTGAAGATTTTTTTTTCGATGATCATATTGTTCGCATTAATCTTGTTATTTGCTTACACGAAACACGTAGAAAGCATTTTAGCAGCTTGTAATTATAAAAGAGATATCAATTTTAGATGAAAAAATGATAAGCGTACCATTTAGAACCTCGATGGTAGGTGAACTTTCAAACTTTGGCTTCGTCGATGACAGTTTTGTAACGGTGTCCATGGTGGTCGTAGCTTCAGTCACGTGTTTATTGCCTGAAATTCAGCAAAGTAATATGGATTGATGGTAGATAATAACACAGGAAGCAATGTAACAATAACGATACTAAATAACAGCATGGAACCATATACAATTTGAGATTATATCCTGCAGTGCCTTTTCATTATTCAAAAGAGATATTCCAAGCGTCTATGCACATCTAGCGCTACACCCTACCTGCCAATGATCGGCATAGGTACATGGCTGTAGAGACTTGCATAGCATCACTTCAAACCCTACTTAAAATATTTCACATTGTCAGCAATCCAACTTTCAGGTTCTTTTCTAATAAGGCCCTGTTCTCCATAGAAAAGTTACTTCATTAAGTTTGAAAATCCAAACTGATATCACCCCCCCCCCCCCCACCCGCCGATATGTCACAAAATAATGTTTGTTCATGAATGGTTGAATAACAGCTTTCATCGAAAGAAAAAAAAATACAATTGATTATAGTCTCACCATCGCAGTTGAATTCGTCAGAGTAGTCAAGACAGTCAGCTCGCTTATCACACACGGCCGTAATTGGGATGATATCGCCTCCTTCTTCACATCGAAAAGTGGTCGGTGCCTCAGTTCGACTCTCTGTGAGATACAAACAAATTAGTTGTAAATCGATTATTTATTTTACTTGACGGTAATAAAAAGTGGAGGAATAAGAAGAAACCAAAACAGGGACTACTAACGTAAGTAGAACGGATGCCGGAACAGCAAAATAAATTACAGAACGATATCATGGGATAGAGAAGAAAACATGTAGAAAGGAAGAAAGTCACTGTTAATAGTTGTTTTCTCAAAATGCCATGAAAAAGAAATTGATTTTGCTTACGTTCCATTTCAACCACGGCCGATAATCGTGAATCGTCCAATGGGATAAGTATGTCATCACGTGATCCCTTCGGCGCAACTTCGTTCCAATTCAATGATGGTCGATGAATCTGTTTCGTGAGGTTTTCCTTCTCGTCAGCTGTAATGAAACAAACATTTTTCGTTTTTGAATTTTGAGATTCACATAGTCTTCTTAATATCGGTTTTCACGTTGTTATCTTGCATTAAAAAGAACAAAAATTATTCGACAGATTGAAAGATTTGAAATATCTAAGCATTACCGTTTTATTTACAATACAGAAACAGAGAGTTGACATGAACTAGAAAATACCCTCATAAAATGGCAATTATTTTTATCTCCTTACTATACATTCGGATGCTGCCAGCCTGGCCAAAACTTTTTGTAGAACAAGTTGCTATGGTATACTGCTATTTTGTTAGTACTAGGACAGTAGTAATTTATACTTTCAATAAAGTAATTAAGCTAAGGCCATGGGGGGGGGGGGGGGCTCTCTATCATCCTTTGATCAGATGGTGGCATGGTTTTTGTTTACGTTACAATATATGCAGGCATTCTGTGGATTGCAATATATCGTTCGTCTTCATAATATTGTTTACAATAATTTTCACCTATTTTGAGTGACTTTGTTCGTCCGTCTTCTTGAGATTAATTTGCAAATGTTGTCAGTGCGGGTAAAGTAACGGTAGAGTAACGGTTATATTCACACATTTCAGATAAAAGATAAACTGCATATTTGTCAGGTGTTGTTCAGTAAATTAATCATGATAATGGCATCGATCAAAAAGATTATGATTTACCATTACAAGAATCCTCATCCGAATAATCTGGGCAATCAGCTTTCTTGTCGCAAAGGGATGTAATGTCGATAAGTGTCCCGTCGGTGCATCGAAAGAATCCAGATAGTTTTTCTGTAAGATAATATAAAAATGTCCATTGTTAAACTTAAAGGGGAAGTCCACCCTGAGAATAAGTTTGCTTTAATACAAGGAGGAAAAATGAGAAGAACAGATCATTGAAAGTTTGAGAAATATCGGACAATAAATAAGAAAGTTGTGGATTTTTTTAAATTCAATTACTTTTCATGAAATACTTCAAATCTGTGAGTCGAACTGGCAACGTGGTCTCTAAATATAATATCCCCCCTCAAATATTATTTTCATGGTTTCGTACACAACACTGTGGTACGCTATGCATAATATTTACAATAAAAAAATCGATCTATTGATTCCAGTCTAAAGTCTAACGGGACCACCCAAATCGACCTTGTCAGTTCTGAAAACGAAAAGTGCATTTACAAACAGAGAAAGCGGGAGAAAACAAAACCTACTTGTCTTGTTGGTGGGAACAATAGAAGTGAAATTAACCACACCTGCACATCTTTTCTTTGCTAATAGGATGACGCCCGAATCATGATAATTTCACACGGATTGTTTGAATAGGATATTCATACTGCAAGTTTAAATATATTGACGTCAAAACAAACAATGAACATCAATTCAATTGCATGAACTATTTGAACATCACTGCACAGAAGTGATAATGCTGGCTAATGTGAGAGATATACAGAAGAGTAGAAAGTACAAGAAAGAGAGAGAAAGAGAGAGAAAGAGAGAGAAAGAGAGAGAAAGAGAGAGAAGAGAGAGAAAGAGAGAGACACAATGACGAAATCAAATTTTTCGTCAATGTGAATTTTGTAAGATAGAAATGAAGTTTCCGAACCTTCAAGTGTCTCGGCTGGCGCAGCTTCTGAAATTTTCTCAGTCGAAACTTTCAATTCATATTCAGTCGAACTTCGCACCGTTGTTACTTCGTCGGTCGTCATGGAAATGACAGCGACTACGTCATCAGACGTCGTCGTCGTCTCAGCTTCCTTCGGTTTCGTGGTCACCTTCGGCGACAGATCCCCTTCTAGTTCTTCGTGGTCTTCCTTAGGTGCACCACTAAGAGTACTCGGGGTTGTCTGAGGTTGATGTGGCATAGCACCAATGTTGTTGGCAGAACTTGGACCATCTGTGACAGGAATGGGCCGCGCGATAACATGGATTGCATTGTCGTCGTCGTCCACAACGTCAGCATCATTCTCTTCAGGCGGCGAAACGTATCCGGCGGGAAGAACGAAAGCGTGTTGTGATGGTGTTGATGTCGAGTCTTTGAACGGATGCAATAAAGAAATAAAATGATTAATACGAAATGTTCATAAGCATCATATTCTTAAAGCTCTTTACAATAAGGAAAATATGTAAATATTAGATTGAGTTTAATTCAATTAATTAATCCATCGTTATCATTTGATGATTAAGAAGTAGACTATAGCTGTTTATCAGAGTATAAGCCGTTTTTTAGTTAACATTTTATTTTAAAGTATACTGCTCAATACAGTTTAAGTCAGCATTTAAACACGCTATAACTTCAAAAGAAGGACAAAAAACAGATAGAGAGAGAGAGAGCGAAAGAGAGAATCTACCTATTACAGCTTCATCCCTAGTAGGGAATTCTGCATTGTCTCCCCCGATCACTGATTCCTTGGTTCTTGAAGTACGATCTATACTCAAGTCACCCTGCAACACGCCACTGTCCGTGGTATCTGCAATTGTAACATGATCTGAAGCGGCTGAAGCGGCTGGAACGACTGTCGAAGCTTCCGTCTCCTCCACTCCTTCCGTAATCAATTCTGAGTGAACAGCGACCGTCGTCCTTGACTTCGACGCTGCTTTGGTCGCCAGAACTTCACCGTCGGGTTGATGCGTCGCTGGTGACACCGTTAAGATCTCAGCCTGCTTTGTTGTCCATCCCGACGATGAAATCGAAGGTGATTCAGTAAGGATTTCAGCTGCAGATGTCGTGGCGGACAATAAATAATTCGAATCGACTTCCGTTAGGGTCTCTGAGGATGTCGTTGTTTGTAAGTTCGTATCGACTTTGGTTAACGTTTCATCGCTCGCCGTTGTCCCAAATTTTGCTCTCACATCTGTTTCTGTTACATATTCTTTCGAGTCTGACGTTGCTTTCGTTATATATATTGGTATTTCTGTTAACAAATCTTCAGGTGCTGCAGCAGTGGAAACAGATGATGATTTTCTATGATTTATATCTGATATTTCATCTTGTAATTGTCTTAATCTGTCATTGTCAATAGCGTGTAGGGCATCGACATTTAATGACACTTGTTCAGCTCCTTTTAGTGATGACTGAGTTTCTGTTTCAAAATAAATAAATCACGTTAGAATTGATATCTCACTGTGAATAAATTAATATTTATTCAAACATATTAATGTACCATTTATAGTTCAAACAGAATGCGAGAAAGTAAGCGAAAGAGCGGGGATACGAATAAGGGGGTTTCATATAAAAACAACACTTGCAAGAGAGAGAGGGGTTACAGAGAGAGGGGGCAGAGAGAGAGAGAGAGAGAGAGAGAAAGAGAGAGAGAGAGAGAGAGAGAGCGCGTTAAAATAGGAAGGAGAGGAAAGAGATTGAGAGTAGACATAAAAGAAAAGGTAAAGATAAGAGAAATAGCTGGAAAACGAGCAAGGGAGACGAGAAAATACAGATAAGTGAGCATACAACATGAAAAACACAAATGACACGAGTGATATATATTCGTCCTTGTTTTCACGAATTTATAAAGATTATTCCAACATTGGCGCTTGTTTTCTTTGCTTCTTATGTAAGAAATATATCAATATGCTATATGCTTCAAATTCTTTCTTTCTACAATCTAGAGCACAGCATGTGAACAGCTTCTTCCTGTAGAATGAAACCTAAAGAATGAATCGGGGGGCTATTCAATAACTTCTTTCTCTGTTTAATCTGTCAACCGGCCTTGGGCATCAAAGATAAATCTTGGGCGTAGGCCCTTCTTCACTATTATTTTCTTCGCGGGATTACAGATTATTCAAGGCTTTAGCGAAGCGCTATGGAGGAGTAAGACCGACTTGTATTAAATTGCGTGTGTGTTACATAAGGCTTTATATATAGTTCAGTTCGAGAAGAAAAAAAATCAAGAAATAGTCGCCACTAGCGGGGATAGGGGTAGACGGTCGAATCCCCCTCCCAATAATTCGAGTGGGGGCAAAATTATTCTTATGTACAACTAATATGTTTTGTAGTGTCACATAAGCTTTAAGTGTTCTTATATATTTTTCCTAAATCTATTTTCCCCTCAGTCGCTATAAATACTTTAAAAAAAAAAATTTTTATCACGTGATAAGCCTTGTTGACCATGGACGTCCGAAGTGTGGAAGGGCGGAAGACGGTTCTCCTTAATGAAGGAGATGAGACAAAATCTAATTCACCGCCCCTCTCAAGCTGCAAGCTTGGGCTTTACTAAATCGTATGTAGATCATAATGTTTACGTAAACTGTTATTAGCCTGAGTGTTTATAAGTACATGTATACTGTGTGTCTCTTGATAATGTTCTGTAGATTTCACATATGCAATATTTTCGCTCGGTCTCTGCGCTCCCTCTAAAATAAACCCTTATTCTCTATAAACCTCTATTCTCTTACGCATGCTATGTCTGCTAAGAATATTTCGTTTGGATACTTCAAGTTGTCTGTACGTAACTAAAACGTGAGCATCTAGAAAGCTTAACTCTAACGGTACAAAATCCAAACGGTCCCTTTTCAGGCCTCAGAGGGTTTTCAAATGAATGCGCTTTGGAAACTTCAGGAATTAGGCTATGCATGAGAGCGGAAAATAGAAATGTGTTTGTTCCCAATGAAACAAAAATTAGAATATGATTTCTAATCAGGGGTCAAACGAATGGGATTTGGGTGGAAGAAGAAGAAGAAGAAGAATGCGAACGGAAACAAGGCATCGGCGAAAAGTCGTCAATGCAATTATAAAATTTGACAAATATAACATCGGAAACTCTTTGAAATGAGTAGCTGGGATAACTAATGAGCGTTACATAATGGTAATAATAATAATAATAGTGAACATTAATGCGCCAAGTCTGTCGAAATTGACACTCCTGGCGCAGTTGTGACAAATTGTATAGTTATGGGCATATACGTCTATTAAGTAATTCAAGAAAGAAAGCCAAATACACATACGTTTAAGTTTAACATACTTCAGGACCTAATTTTACAAAGATAAAACTACATCATTTTTAACATAAAAGCAAGGTTACATATGCATGAATCTTAGTTCCTTATTGCTACGATTTGGAGACAATAAGTACAAAATATAAGGCTTATGATTGAGAAAACGCACATCAACTAATCCTTTTCTTCCAATAGTACCCGCATACAGGATGTATCAATACATCTTCTCTCTCTCTCTCTCTCTGTCTCTCCCTCTCTCTTGTTCTTTTGTTTTCTCTCTCTCTCTTTCTTTTTATTCATTGTCTTCCCTCTGGTCTTCATGCAACCTCCCTGGGCCACACAAGGCAAATTTCAATAGCCTCGTGCCTCACCTATTGAAATGTGCGTACATGACAATGAAATATTACGTCATCCGAATGAGATGATATTTGATTTCTTGAAAGTCTTTGCGATCGTATTCAATGAAAATAAATTTGTTTTGCTCTCAATGAAAAACCTTCACTTACTTTGACTGGATAAATGAGTTGCTGTGTGTATTGCCGAAATCCCTTGTCGTGCTTCTTGTAGAAGTGTTGTCGTTGACGATCTTGCTGTATCCGACGACGGTGAAGGCTTGTCAGCTGCCCCAACTTTGGATCAGAACAAAAAAAAATGGATTCGTTAAAGAAAAGATTGGTTAACTATGAAAAATACACACAATTCATTATCCTTATCATTTATTTTAGTTTATTCCTTAGTTTCCTTCGAAATACTGTCACGTGACGAATAGTTAAAGTGTACCAATCACATAAACATGTTTTTTCTCAATATTTAAAGGTTCAATGTGACTAAACCGTATTTAAAATATGAGCTTCAAATATACTTCGACAAAGAGATATTGCAATTTAAATACATTCTACGTGTAAGTGAACAGTATAAACAAGCTATGCAGCTATGCAATTTGCATTTTATTGAAGCGTGATCATGCGTTAGACGGTCACTTGAGAATTAAATCATTCATATCGAAGAATGTCACCAAGACGTATGCAGTAAGATGACAATTCAAAGATGGTTCATAGGCGTAACAACTTATCGAGTAGTAGACTATGGTATAACGTATACCCAGTGAAAGTGATAGGCATGGATGAGAAAGTGTTGATGAAGTTTCGGTGATTATAAGCTAGATGGAAAATATCGTGACAATGATAGTTCCTTGCAAACTTTTTTCTATGCATTATTTTTTGAACGAAAGTTTCCATTGACGACTAAAAACCCTTGTCAGATAAATGCCCGACATATAAAAAAGTAATATATGCAAAGCCAATCCCATCCAATGAGATGTCATTGTGCAAAGGAGGTGAATTAAAATGGTTAGTTACCAGGGGTTTGATGATGAAACATGCAGGGATCTAAATAAATAAATAAACCGTTTTTTTGTTTAGGCGAGGTTAAACGTGGGTAAAATGTGGGTAATTTCACGGGGTTGTTTGATTTACAGTTCACGGGCAATATCATTTATTGTGAAGGGTGGTTATTAATGCACGATCTCAAACATGCTGTACGTGCATCGATCAAAACATGAAGAAGTCTCGCCTTTCTTTATTTACTTCCAGTACATACTCCAATTCTTTCCTTAAAACATAGCAGATTCAGCGCACTTTCATTTTTTTGGCAGAAAATGTGCGGCTAAAGCCCGCCGACACTTTACGACTGACTACGATGTGATTTTGGAAGAATTTGTAATAACATTTGATACGAACAATCAAGCATTTCAAGAGTTAAAAGGCTGAGGATCTATATAGTTACATATTTAATAAATAAAAAAATCAGAGGATTTTATTCTTCCCTGGAGGAAAAGAAGCTAATCGGCTCAGTATTGATTTTCTCATGATTTGAAGCCAATTCGATACTTATTCTGAATAGAAAGAGTCAAATCCACGAAAATTTCTATTTTTAGTCTTCTTAGTAATTTAAAACCTAAATCAGGAAGATGTTTTAGTTTTCTATATTTGATTGTTGTAAAGCGCATAGAGAATTTATTTTTATGCGCTATATAAAATGACTTTATTATTATTACTATTATAATTGGCATTTCTCTGAAAATCGGATGGCTGGAGGATCGTACAGTGTGCAGTGGGCTTCAGGTTAAGACCGTGCGATATAAGATGTGCACTTAAAATTCAAGACCATAAATGACGACGGTCTTGTCATCATTGATATCATAGGAATTATAAAAAAAAATCATGTCATGTCTTCCCTACAAATCACAAATCAATATCAACATGTTGCGCCTATATCTACTTCAACATTTCCTATGGGGCTTGTTACATTTCAAGGGATTTGGTTTAACAAATAAGATGTGAAAACTCACATTGTTAGTCTTTATTTTGTGTGGCTTTCCTAAATGTACTGAGCTGGGTGGGAAGCGGACGATAAAAAACAGAATTATTGTGCAAAGCCTTCGCACTCTCGGTGAACATATACCTGTCCTTGCTGATAAATGCGAAAGTAAAAGCTTTGCTCTTGTGTAATCGCAGCTTTGTGAAGCTCGTCAAATCAATGGATTTAAGGCGCGGTCGTACTCAGTTTACAAAAGATGCTTTGTTACATCGAATTCCTTCTTTTTGTGTCCACCCCCATACAGTCAACAGGCACTGCTAATACGTTCTGGACAGGAACGGATGGGACACATAAAGTGCCTTAGGTATCTAGTTTGAGGTTGTTTTGTATATGGGATGCGTCATTGGTTCTGATACAAAACCCCCCTTTCCCTCAAACAAAAGGAAGAGGGTAGTACCACATTATAATAACCGCACTGTAAGGATAATCAGTGTCACAGTACAGGCGAAAGACTGATATTTACAGAGGTGGCATTGCCCGTACATCTGTATGTCTTAATTGTGTACTTTAAAAGTTCAAATGTAACTGACATGATAGACACATAAAACATTTACTGCCGCTCTTTTCTGAATTATCCATGATTTATAATTGCATTTGCATAGCCAATTCAATATGTATAGGCCCTGTAGTTTTGTTTGTCTGCTTGTTTCTTGTTATTTTTTAAGTGGACCATTTTTCAAATGATATAAATCGAAATATTCGTGAAGCTTTTTATAAATTCTAGCGTCGCTAGTGTATCCATGATAAATGCAAGAAAAAGGCGCAATACATGTAATACACTATCAATTCAAAAGGAATGTATTAAAGCAACGGTTTGAGAGAGACGATGGTGTTCTGATAAAGATAAACAAACATTTCACGAGCTGTCTCATTATTACAAGAAATGTCCTTTGAGAATGATTTGCTCCATAAATGCCCTCGAAACTAGACAAAGCTGATAGGTCAGTAAGTATCTAACTCATTAACAAAAAGGTTGTTATCTGTTCATACATGTAGCGGTCGTGCTTATCACCAGAGCGCCCCCACCACCCCTTCAACAGGCCCTAAGTCCGGTCGATTTTACTCCATCTACCCCATGTACCAACATATGTCAGTCACTAACAAATAGTATGACTGGACATTATAAATCACACAAAACTGACATAATTTCTGTTGCGATGGGTTGACAGACGCCGCGAAAAATTAAATTAAATTTCTCCTCGAACTCGAAGCCACATGGAACAAATTTTTCCAAAAGGAAGAGTTATGGTTGTACATGTACATTACAAAACAATAGGAAACTGACTTGGCCATCTTATGAAGAAGAAAAAGCTAATAACAATTACACCAAGGTTTAGTGTAAAACAAAGATGTTTTAATGTATAGAAAAAAACATTTAAAAATTTTGATCTTAATAAGTTTGAAAATGTTTATTCATTTCACTTCAAATTTACATGAAGCGATTTTGCGCATTATAATTTTCTTGGGTCACAAGGTTTCAGGTGATCATTTCATTAATAAGTTATCAATTGTAAAATAAACAAAATTGTAATGTTTTCTCAATAGTAGCAAGAAAATAGCGACACGATTATGTAAACACTCATCTTGACCGCCTTCACCGTGTTGTACTTATAACTGTGTCGTGAAACGACTATTGTTTTACAATAAAATTATGTTAGAGGAGCTTACTAGATATCTGTGATATATTATATTGTGCCTTCTCATGCTTATTTCCTAGCTAACGCGCATTTCTCTTTCCTTATCTTCTTCTCAACCCCACATGCAGCTCATCATTTTGTATTATTTTCTGTACCCTCGACCTGTCACTTCTTTTTGTCACTGTCTACTCTTTGTATTATGACCGTGTTCTTCTATCTTTGTTGTGTAAAGCATTGTCTTGTCCCTTTCTCGTCTCTGTTGGTATCCCCCTTTTCTTTCCCCTATTTTGTAGTTCCTTTTGTAGTTACGGATTAGTTAATTTAATAACTCATTATTCCTAAGTATCATTTGAGGTGTTCACACTTGTACAAACATTGCTTATTAGTGGACCCCTCTGTATCCAACATTTTTTCTTACATTTGTTTTAAATGCTCATAATCGATTTGTAATGTTTTGTTGGAAACATGAATAAATTTGAAATTGAAATTGAATAGCTATTATCTGCCAGGCAATTTTTAAAGTTTTAAAATTCGTATGTAACACAAAGAACTTGCATAATCATTTTTATGTCTTCTAAAACTGAAGATGGCCAACGGAAGTGCTTACATATTCCCGTCGATCGCCAACCAACCAGGGCACCGTTGCATAAAACTTACCATTGATGGTAACTTTGCCATCAGTGGTAACTACCATGGTAACAGGGCTCAACAGCCAATCAAGGTTTCCATGGTAGTTACCATTGATGGCAAAGTTACCATTATGCAACGGGGCCAAGTACGTAGAATGTGCATATAATCATAATTTCTTATAAACAAAAAGATCTAATTCAAGATGTAAATGTTGATTGGTCTACAAGAAATGAAATAAGTGGTGAAATCTGGTCCGATGAAAGTGGTTCGATTGATTTGGCGCCCTAGCTGTCGTGCTAAGTGTGTTGTGAGGTACATTGGACATCCTTAAGCTCTTAGCAATGAATCGGCGTTATTGCCTTTCGACAACGGCCGACACGCTGGGTAAATATACACAATGACTGAGTGGAGTACCACACCCAATCTCAAATCCCAATCAAAGACAGCTTTGAATCCCATCGTCCTCCTTTGGTATTGTGGTTTATCGCTTTATAGCCTGTAATGTTACTGTGAAATATAATAGTGTCCATTTTCCGATTCCCATAAATCGCCTTCTTTTATTTCACCTATTCTACTCTCAAGGATGATTTTTGTATTCTTGTGGGAGAAACTATGTAAACAAATCTCTTATCCTTGTTTGTATAAGACAAATACCGTGGTCAGAAGATTAGAAATGGTGATATTTTCTAGAAAAATCTGTTTACCATTTATGTTCATGAAAAATGTGAAAGTGATAATGAACATCTCATTATTTGTATAAGTAAATAATGCTACATTTCAAGAACAAAATGACAAGATGGAATGTCATGTGCGATAGTACAAGATTTGTCGGGCTCGGCTATATTACGATTCCTTTCTGTACGACCATTCGTTGTTACACAGATTTCTATACTGAACGTCAAAGGAGCGGAGGAGGAAAATCAAGAGGAACAAAGATAAAGAGGTGAAGATTAAAGAAAGTCCGGAGGAAGACAGGAAAACGA